CTTGAAGTCTATTATCAAGCCTCGACCTTTCATGGGATGGGCCATGGACTTGATTGGAAAGATTTATCCACCATCTTCTGATAGACATACGTTCGTCATTTTGGCAACTGATTACTTCACCAAGTGGGTGGAGGCCAAGCCAATGACAGTAGTCAATCAAGGAGAAATCATCAAGTTCATCAAAGAGAATATAATACATAGGTTCGGCTTGCCAGCCACCATAACAGCTGACCAAGGTACTGTGTTCACGGGAGCGGAAGTGATGGCTTTTGCCGAAGAACACGGCATCAAAATCATACACTCCACTCCTTACTACGCTCAAGCCAATGGTCAAGCTGAAGCATCCAACAAGGTGGTGAAGGGCATACTGTCTAAGATGATTGAAGATAACCCAAGAAAGTGGCATGAAGTCTTGTCCGAAGCCTTATGGGCTTATCGGATGTCACCACGTAGTAGTACAAAGGTGACCCCTTTCTCTTTGACATATGGACATGAGGCCTTCCTGCCGCTCGAAATAACGGTCAAGTCATTGAGGTACATGAGGCAACATGAGTTGACACCCTCAAAGTACTATGAGTCAATGATGTTGGAATTGTGCGATCTTGATGAACTCCAACTCAAAGCACTCGATAACATCAGGGTGCAAAAGGACAAAGTAGCTCGCTCTTACAACAAGAGGGTTAAGCACAAGTCCTTTGAAGAAGGAGAGTTAGTATGGAAGCTACACTTGCCAATTGGGGAAAAGGATCCCAAGTTTGGCAAGTGGTCTCCCAACTGGCGTGGACCCTTCATTGTCCATGCCACCCGGCCCAATGGGGCCTACTTGTTAAAAGATTTAGATGGTGTGTTTCATGATCGATTGATCAATGGTAAGTATCTCAAGCCCTACGTCCCTTCTCTTTGGGACTTGGGGTGTCAAAGAGTTCAATGTTAGTAGGCCACCTTGGTGGCCGGCATGCCAAGCCTCCCACACCCTAAGGCATGGCATGATACCCCATGTTAAAGTATGGATTGAATAGCTAGCCATGACATGGAGGGTACGTTGAGACAGAAGTACAACATTGATATGGGGGCGTGAAGCCAAGTAGATTGGTATCACACTTCATCAATAATAAAAATAGAGTTTATTACTAGGCAATGAAAAGAACATCCCACCAAAGGCAAACACTAAAGGCCGAGTCATATGAATACCAAAAAGAAAAAAAAGCCAAATCCATGGCTAAGCCGAATGTCTTAAATCATGAAAAAGAGCTAACAAAAAAAAAAGGAAAAATGAAGTATGGATGATTTAGCCAGGCATGTGATGGAGAGCCTCTTTGACGATATCTCGCAGCTTGAGGAAGGTAGCAAGATGGGTGTTGTAGACAAAGACGGCTTGTTCCTTCTCCTGAGATAGCTGTGCCATAGGAGTCATTGGGCCCATTGTTTCCTTGAGGTTGTGAGCTTTTTCCACTAGCTGCCGGAAGTCTTGAGACATGGGAACATGTTGAGCCTGGTCCCTGGCAGCTTCTGCACGAATTTGGGCAAGCTCTTTCTCGAGTTCAGCTATCCTGGCTTGGCGAGCTGCTTCCCTTGTTTTGAAACCAATAAGAGCATCCTTCATAGTCTTGCAGTCAGCAGTCATTTTGGTGTAGTTGGCTTGGATGGATTCCTTGTTCACAACTTGATTTTGTTCGTGGATAGCCTTCTCCATTGCTGATATGCTGAAGCCGAGACTATTCCTGGCTGCTTGTAAAATGGACATCTTATTCATGTCAAGTCCTGGCAATGGGTTGAGAACAACAAGGCTGGATAGTGACTCGAGAGCTTGTCCAGGCTAGCGATTCTTGGAGGCCATGATTGCCTGCTGGGGAGTGAGTGAGAGGTACTGGTCCAACTCAGTGAGGGCAGCACGTGTGGCTTCAGAAGAGGGGGCAACGAATTGGGCTTCCTCCCCAAGTGATTCTAAGTTTTGGAGGAGATCGAAGTAGTGGTCGAGCGAACTTAGATCCTGCAATGGTTTTTATTAAGTTATGGACAAGCCGAGTTATACAAAGGAAAAAGAGGGAGAGTAGGTCGCAGCGCTTACTAGGGTTGGAGTAGTGTTACTGGCGGTGGTGTGGAAATCGGGAGTGGTAGAGGAAGAGAATATAGCCCGCTCGGTCTCATCCATGTTGTTGGTAGTGGACGGTCCGATGTTAGATCTTTCTAAAGCACCCTGGGCATCGTGGTACTCGGAGGGGAGCTGATAGTCGTTGACATTGAGAAGACCCCCGGTGTGCTTGTTGCTGAAGCCACCCTCCAAGTCATTGAGGAGGTTGTTCTCCAAGATAGCTATGTTAGAGACGTTGGCTTGATGACTTGATGAGAACAAGTTGGTCGTCGGAACTTGGAAGGGTGCACCTTTTGATGGCGAGGGAGCAGTAGAGACGGGAAACTTATGAGTAGGATTTCCAAGGCCAAGAGGACCGAATGACGAAGTGTGAGGTACAACCGTTGGGTTGATCGAAACTGAAGGGGACCCAATTGTCACTGCCAAACTTGACGATGAGAGGTTTGAATCCTTCAGTGGGTTGAGACCTTCACGGATAGACAAAGGAGATGGTTGAGGCTGCAGGGTGGAAGGTGTCTTGTCTGGAATCTCCATTCGGTTGGGCCCTGTAGGCTCAGTATCGGTGTCCGAATCTGTAGACATTGTTGTGGGACGGCCCTCGAGGTCCTCATCGGTGGAGTTGTCATCTACTAGCTTCGAACCCTCATCGTCCTCGCCTTTGTCGCAAGTATTGTCTCTAGAGAGGTGTTCTTCCTCGCTCTCAACTAATGACAAAGACTGCAAGGAGATTTCTTATTAGGTTATTGATCTAAGGAAGATGAAATAACAAGGTAGTTTAGCACTTACTCGTGGATCCTTCAAAGAAACCTGGCGCTTGGTGGATCTCGGGGGGCTATCTACGCTAAGACCTACATTTGAAAACAAAGCTGTAGGAGAACTCAAAGACTATGAAAAATAGTATGGCAAAGAGTTTGATAGGGGGAAGCTTACATGCTCTTCGTTTGGCCTTGGAGGTGATGGAGGAGGGGCCGGGTTCTTTGACACTATCACCTTGGTTCCTCGAGTTAATGGCTTCCGAGCTGGCATTTTTCGGAACATTGTCAAGCAACCCTTGTGCTATGACTGGGGCTGAACCATCAAAAAGACTCAAGTTCTCCACTTTGCCGGGAAAGACAGCTTGAAAGACCCGGGACAATGCATCCTTCCTTGGCTCAAAACACTTGAACTTGGTGCTCTCCCCTTATATACTGTGCCACATAATCAACTTGTCCACCTCTTCTGCCTTCAAAGACTTGCGTTTCATGGGGGCTGCAAAGTTGGGTGATTGAGGCAGAGACAATGGCCACATTTGCATGAGGCCAAACTGACGAGCCACAAAGTGTGGATTGTAAACCTCGGTGAATGTGTCTAGTTTTGGCCCCATAGGGAAGAGTATGAGGTCGCGTGCCCAAGTCCAATCTTTCCATTGGAGCACAAAGCACCGATATTCATCAAGTTCACCTTCTTCTTTGGGTCTCATTGTGAAAGTCTTGGTGAACGATGGTGGACCTAGGAGGCGGGGTCTGAAGGGGGTGAAGCTATCAAGAGACTTCAAACCATGGAAGATGGAGAAGCATTCCTCAAATTTCTTTCCCAAGGACACAACATGGTTGTAGTAATGACCATAAGTAAGCGGAAGATGTTTTTGGTTTGCGGACTTCAGGGCGGGCAGCTCCTTCCGAAACATTGGGAAGTAGGCTTGGAGCCATAGGTGCACCAACCAAAGGGGGCCGGAGCCCGTGATAGTGGTACCAGAAGTAACTTGGTCAAACAATGTGTGCATGCCATGGTAGAGGTGCCCAAGAATGATCTCTGCTAGGTCATCTTCCACGTACCCATCAGCGAGGTAATGAGATACTTTTGAGAGGCTTTGACGGGGTCCCGGGTTCCCAGGACAAATGATAAACTTGTATAGCCAGTAGTGAAGGAATCCCGCTCGCTCTTTATGGGTGACAGGGGTGGAGGGATCTGGATTGCATTGGCCATGAAGAGATTTGAAGGAGCTAACCGTGAATGGAGGGTATTGCTCCTTGGTTTCTCGATCCAGAAGAACTGGGGTCACCCCTGTGAGGGCTGCCACATCCATTAGGGTGATAGTCATCGCACCCAAAGGGAAGACAAAGCAGTTGGAACCTGTTGACCAGAAGCAAGTGGCGGCCTTGAAGAGTTGAGGGTCGGGATCCGTAATCTCTGTCATTAGGTGAAGGAGTCGATCAATCCCAGCTTGAGCCCAAAGGGTGGTGGTCTCCTCATCCTTCTTCAGCCTATTATACCAACTGTTGTACACGGGGTCGTGTTGGGGCCAAGACCTGATCAGCTTCTTTTGCGAGGCATGGTGAAAGAATGATGATGGTTTTGGGTTAGCCTTATAGAGTAGCTTGCCGCCGCCAAGGGGGTAGCGGCCATGTGTTGAAGCCTTAGGGGTGGCTGGGTCAAGGATGTAGGGGCCAAGCATGCCAACTCCATTATCTTTGACATCCAAATAGACCATCTTGACTCCTTTGCGCTTTTCTAGCCCTTTGAATTGCTCGCGGTACGCGCGAGTAGCCTCCGTCCTCTCTCTTTCATACTCGGGGTCAGCCATCCTACAGGATAATGATGAAGCAGGTTTAAACTCGGTCAACCTAGGATAAACGTGTTTAAAAAAAAATTAAAAAAAAAAAGAGAAAAAAAATTTTACATATGGCCGGCGGCCATTAGTGGTGATGGAGAGCTTTTTCTCTCACCTTGACTTGCTTGGCGAAGATCGCGTTGATGTTGAAAGCTCTTGTTGGAATGTAGTATGTGAAGATGTGAAGAATGAGAAGGGGAGGCCTCTATTTATAGAGTTATGGGAGCTTGAATTGGAGAATCCTTTTCAGTTATGGAAAGGATTTGATTGAAGTAGAATCCCACACGGAAAAGGAAAATTAGAATCCTAGCTAACCATGGCAAGGAAATAAAATAACTTAATTTTTTTCTAGCCTCTCGATCGAAGTGGAAGGGGATTGCTGATGATGAACCGACTTTAATGGCCGAATTTGATTTTTTGGCCTTGTGACCGAGTTGGACGGCTAGCTTGTGAGAGCTACGTGATTCATGAAGCAAAGTAGGAAGCATTGGCCAGGTGAGACAAGAAAGGACAGAGTGGACTAACGTCTCTCTTAACTACCAAATCTTCCATCCTCAACTCAACTCGAGAAGAGGCAATGATCCTGTCCCAGGGTGCCGAGGGGAGGGTGGACAAGGTTATGTCCGTCTATAATCGTGTTTGTTGAAAATTTATGTGTTCATGTAGCAGTGTTCATTGCCACGGTCCACGAACCTTTGTTAAGAAGGCCTTTCCCGGGCCAATTTCCCATCAATGGACGGTTGCTAGTAAGATGGGAAGAGTAGCGCGTGTTTTGGCCATGTCAAAATTCCATGTAATGGCCTAGTGCAAAGGGTTAATCCGACTCGCTTTAGCCTCGAAAGAGAGGTGCATGATTAGTTTGTCACAATTGCATGGCCTTGTCTTTGTTTTGGCCCAAATTGATTACGTGGCATAAGTATGTGTTAATTTCTAGAAGTTGCGTTGGTAACATTTGGCCATTTAAATGGTGCCAAAGCCAACCACTGGTTTCGGAAGGAGGTTCATTTGTTTTGGTTTGTACTAATAAGACCAATGAGGATTAAGTAGTTAAATGGCCTTGAGTTTGTCTTCAACGCCAAGTTGTGGCTGATAAAGTGGCCACAGATTAGTATGAGTTACGGTGCGCTTCAATAACTTAGTGCATAATTTTTTATACACTAAGTTGTGGGGCATTTGTTTACCCATAAAAAAATCAGCTTGTACCATATTGATTAACTACAAGAAATTCAATGAATTTATAAGGCCAGCTCAACATTAATAATTAAAAGAGCTAGCTAGGCCTTGTTGGGTTGGGTTTTTGGGCCTAAGTGGCCAAGCCCTTTCTTCCCTACATGACGGTCGACTCGCCTCCTTGGCCCCATAGCCAGGCGATGCGTTTCACCCCTTGGTAAGAAATTTGGCCTCCAAAAAAACTAAGTCTTGGAAACAAGGCGATACAACGGGGTGCCAAACGGCCGGGTACCAAGTCGGGTACCGAAGCCTTGGAAACAAGGCGATACAACGGGGTGCCAAACGGTCGGGTACCAAGCCTGGTACCAAATAAGGGGGCCAAACAAGAGGGTATCAAGCCGGCAAGGCAGGCTTGATACCCAAGTAAGAGATTTGGCTAAGTCTTGGAAACAAGGCGACACAACGGGGTGCCAAACGACCGGGTACCAAGCCGGCAAGGAGGGCCTAGTACCAAAGTATATGAGAATTGGCTAAGTATGGAGCCATAGGGCATCAAGCCGACAGGCTTGATAGCCAAGCAAGGCGACAAGGTACCATGCCCCCAAGGTGGTATCAAGCCGGCGAGACTGACTTAGTGGCTAGGCAACGGGGGGCCAAGCCAGGTACCAACTAAGAGAGTCATACAGAAACTAAGTATGGAGACCAAGCCACCAGGACTTGCTTGGCAGCAAGGGGTGTCAAGTTGATTACATGGGCTTGATAGCATGTCGGAAGGTATCAAGCCGATGAGCTGCCAAGGGTCGGATCGAGACCTCATCATGGAGGCAAGGTTGAGGGCTTCAACCTCATCCAGTCAAGACAAGGTGACAAGATCAACACCAACCCAACCCGGCATTGAGGCCATCAAGTACCCACCAACCCCAAGACGGGACAAGGGCCTCCAAGGCGATGGATACCAACCAGTCAACAAGACGGGTCAAGGAGCTCCAAGGCAATGGAGGTGAAGATCAAGACAACGGTTACCAATTGGCAACCAAGGCAACGAAAAGGGGTCCATAAGGCGGTTGGAGCAACAAGACGATATCAGTTACCAAGGCAGTTACTCCTAGAAGCTATAAATAGAAGAAACGAAGAAGAAGCAAGGGTTCCACAACCAAACATTTGACGCACAATGTCAAAATTTATCTTTTCTCTGCAAATCAGCTTTTAGTCTTTCGGAGCTCTCACTGAACCTCCATAGGAGTAGAGTAACTTAGATTATTCCCAAAAACCATCAAAAACATCAAACACCCTCGTTCGAACATTGTTCGGAGAGGTGTGAACCGTGTTGATTGTCGTTGTTCCAGAAGTCAAAGGTGCAATCATTTAATTCAAACACCAGTTTTTCCTCACCGGAAAACAGTTAGGAAAGCCGGTATTGAGAACATGGATTAAATAAATAGATTTCCATTGTGAACTAAGAAGAAAAATAAGGGAAACAGAGAGAAGCAATTATGAGACTAGAGGAAGTACAAACCAGAATCCGTATGGGTGTAAATAGAGCATACATTAACAGCCCCCGTCTCTCTATTGTGATTGCAGAAGAATCGTAATGTGGCTTCTTTTGTCTAGTTTCAAAAAAAGTACTTAGGGATTGTTTGTTTGGTTTCTGTGATTGTTTGGTTGCGATTGATACAATACCTGTATAGTTTATAATTCATCGATTTTTTGTTTTTTTATGCATAGACAATAAATGTATAGTTTACTGATGTGTCAGCAACAATCATCCATTATGAATGATAAAGTTTAAAGTTTATAGTTTCAACTTTAAGCTTTAGAAATTATCTTTTGCATTGAAAAGAAGGGATACAAGTGACATTTTGATTAAAAAGTGACTTTCCTTTTTACCTATTGAAAACACAATATCAAACGTTATAGTCTACAATACATCAAATTGATCAACAATACATTTAGAATATAATACATATATTGATCACAATAAACCGATTTAAGGCTCCGGATACTATAACAACATCCTATTTGTTGTTACCGTAACAACAAGGGCAACATAGTAAAATTACAATTAAATAATAAAATAAAAATCAAATAATTTATCAAACGCGTCTTCCTCCGTCCCCCGCTCTTCCGCCGCTGTGTTTCGCCATCCTCCACCTGGAACACCTCCACTCCGTCTATCCCCATCCTCCGTCGGAGCGTAATCCATCACTATAACCGCAGCGGCGGCGGCGAAAAAACAGGTTCCTCTTCTCTCACTTCCTACTTCGCCGCCGACTAACCGCGAGAAGAGCGCTCCAACTCCAACCTCCTCGATGACTGGACCTACAACGCCCATCTCCCTGCCGGAACAAAACAATTCAGATCTCGTTTGTCCTCCTCCGCCTTGCTTTCCCTCACCATCTATGCAGCTTCCTCCTCCCGCAATTTCAACTCTTCCCTGTTTATAGGTTGTTTACAGACTCACAGCTGTTCAACAGATTCGTGAAATTCGATCCCTGGAGAAAGAGGTTGTCTACCTTATTCTGCACAACCACCGGCGGCGGCGGGTCGTCGCCGAAATCGGGAACAGAGGAAGGCGTGTTTGTAGTACATCGTCGAGATCGCGACCTGGGCCTGCTCCCTGTATCCATCTCCACAATCTTCAGCGTTTCATCGACGACAGCGAGATTGCTGGCGGCGTCGATTATTATTCCGCTGTCGAAAGGAGCAGAGAGCCTCCGACTGTGGTGAACTGAAGCTGAACTTCTCGTCTCGTCAAATCTTCTCATCTCGTTGAATCTCTCCTGGAAAAAGAACCCATTCAATTAAATTTTAAAATCTCGAATTTGAATCTACAAGAAATTGGCTTTGACATTTTAGCTTACCATTGATTTCCGAGCTCGAATTTCTAATCGATTTCGAGCAGCAGCTCTCTGAGACCTAACGGCGGCTTGCGCCCTGATTAATTTGTTTCTTCGTTGTTAATTGGTAGTGGATGAGATGGCAATCATCTCTCTGCAATGTCTCTTGGTGATGGGTCAAAAACTCATTACCTATTATTCATCCTTAATGCACCAGTAGGTTGTTTCTTAGTATTCCCGTCTTAAAGAGAATTAATGTGCTTGTTGTTTTAGTTAGTAAATATAGGAATATGACTTTGTTACGTACAAATCTTTGTATATGTTCTAGTAACAAATATCTTATATTGTTGTTGCTTTGCGAGCACACTAGAAACCCCCTAACGCAAACTACAAACACGGTAAAGCAAACCAAAAATGTCTTAATGCATACCACAAATATATTAAAACAAACCAGAAACCTCGCAAAGCAAACTCCAAATATATTATAACAAAACAGAAACCTCGCAAAGCAAACCACAAAAGTTTCGAAAGCACACCAGAAACTTCTTAATGCAAACCAGAAACCTTCTAATGCAAACCACAAATCTCCTAAAACAAACTAGAAACCCCACAATGCAAACCACAACATTTGCGAAAGCACACCAGAAACCTCCTAATGCAAATCACAAACACAGTAAATCAAACCACAAAAAAGCAAACCATAAACGTCCTAATGGAAACCGCAAATATATTAAAACAAACCAGAAACCTCACAATGCAAACCACAAAGTTTTTGAAAGCAAACCAGAAACTTCTCAATGCAAACCCCAAACACGATAAAGCAAACCAGAATCTTCTTAATGCAAACCACAAACACGATAAAGCAAACCACAAAAGGCATACGAAAATATGAGAAACCAAACCATAAATCTCACAATGTAGACCATACATCCGGTGGTCGTTGACCGTTGACCGATCAACGAAGTTCGTTGACCGAACTCCGGTGACCGTCGGTGAGCAGATTCCGACGCCGATAGGCATATTCCGGCCCCGATGACTAGATTCCGATGCTGGTAAGCATATTCCGACGCCGGTAAGCATATTCCGACGAAAAAAGCATATTCCGGTGACCGGCGACCATTTTCCGGCGACCGGTGCCAGAATTCCGGCGACCAAATTTTTGGGCAGAAAATAAAAAAATATTTTTTTAATTTTTTATTTAAATATATTTTTCATAATGACAATTATACCCCTGCTTTGATTTTACACTAAGTCAACTCATCTAATAAAAAGTCATCACAATCCTAGCTTCCTATTGGTTGGGGACTAGTGTTGTTACAATAACAACATAATAGGTGTTGTTATAGTAACCGGTCCCCCGATTTAACTATCGGGGAAACCAAAAGAGCCCTAGTTTTTGAGAGAAAGGAAACTCATATTCCCTAAAAATGCAAAGATCAGACAAACAACAGAATATTTGTTATGACCCATAAGTTTCACAAAATATAACTCTAGCCATTAATCACACATGCCAATCCATCGCTGTTTAAGACTCGGAAAAATCAAATATATTTACACAAGATTAAGATAGCATCCAAGGCTCCGGGCTGTATAACCAAACCCAAACAACCCCAAGACCTGGTTGAGTATGATGGTTGGATCCAAAAAGATTTGCACCAGTCGCCTTCACTAATCTAATTCCGCAAAGAGTGCCACTTACTCACTTGCATTGTTGTTGAATATTGGTAGCTGATGAATTCTTAAATTGATTTTAGAGAACGAGAGTTTTCATTTATCAAGAATTAAAGTATGATTCTTTTTATGCTCCGAAAGTTTCATGATTTGAACAAGAAAACTATAAAAAAAGATACTTCAGGGACTTACTATTTCATTATACTTTAAGAGTTTGTCAAAAAAGAACTTGTCAAATTCATTTGTATGCATCGACAATGCACCGCACCGATTTTACGCATCTAATTGTCCACACCATCATTAGGTTCCTCCACACGGCTCCATTCGCAAAACTCATTTGTTCTTCGCAATTCGAACTTTAGTTATGTCAACAACCCACTCACCATGACTGACATAAGCGAGAACATATTCGGAGAATACCAGATAATTTGGACTATCATCAGATAAATCATAAATGCTAGTGAAATGGAGATGAGGTCGCTGCTTGTCGGGGTGATTAAATCCCCTTATATTCTAGGCAAGAACCTTCATTACTTAGGTTTGGGTTTTGCATGCCTACTTGGCCCCTTCTTACCTTGCTTATCCGTACCTTTTCCACCCACCTCTACGACAGGAAACTCTTCCAAGTTACTCAGTACATGACTTCCTACTACAATATCACCAACTGCAAAATTATCCACAGCTAAGCTCTAGAACCTGTTTGCTACAGGAGTGATAGGACTCGTTGCAGCAACTGAAACAAGAGATCCAACTTGCCTCACCATAGCTGTCTGAAACTCTCTGTCCGTTGGCAGCTCCACAGCATTCGACTTTTGCCATTCCGAAATCACTCCTTGTTCGATGGACTTGACCAGGTTAGCAACTGCAAGATTCAAGTTCCTACAAGCCTGTTCAGCAGACTCCTGAGCCTTTCCCTTCGAAGCAAGAATAGATTCAAGAAGCAACTGACCAGCACTACCTGCATCTACGTCCACACACCTCTGTTTTGCTGCCTCCTGACTATCTTGATTCACTTCTAACTCCCTTATTTCCTCTCCTCCATGAACCTCACAGTGATGCCCAAATACCCTACACTTCTGGCATCCCACTGGCTTATTGCAATACTCCAAGTTCACCAAGAATGCAGGCTTGGCTCGTGAAAAAGTGGATGTATTTGGTATCATTGAAACTAGGGTGAAGGAAGGAAAATCAAAAACAATAGTAGAGGCTAAATTTGATGGATGGGAGTTTGCTCACAACTATGAGCATTCTGGATTAGGGCGGTTGTGGGTCTTTTGGAGGAAGGATCTGAATTTTGTAGTGTTAGAGAAGTCTGAGTTCTTTGTCCATGGGTTAGTAAGTGGTGCACAGTCTGCAAAGGTCACATTTGTCTATGGCTCGATTGATGAAAGTGGCAGGAGTATGTATAATCATGCTGCACTAAAATCAGAACAATTACTATGGCTTGTGCTAGGGGATTTTAATGTTGTGCGTAGTGTAAATGAAGCTTCAAATAATCCAACTCATTCACAGAGTATGGGGGATTTTGATGAATTGATTGTTAGGATGGAATTGGAAGATAGCAGGTTTGAAGGTCCTTGGTTTTCCTGGACAAATAAGCAAGAGGAGAACCCTATAGCTAGGAGGATTGATAGAGTTCTTGTAAACTCTTATTGGTTATCTGCATTTCCTCACTATGAAGTTCATCTTCTTCCACCTAGGCTCTCATATCACTGTGGGCTACTTATGAACACAGACGCTCACATCTCCTCTTTACCTAAACCATTTAAATACTTTAGCTGTTGGGAATCTCACCCTCAGTATAAGCAGATTGTGAGGGAAGCTTGGAGTAAGAATTTTAGGGGGACTCCCATGTTCATAGTGTATCAGAAGTTGAAGGAAGTCAAAAGTCAGTTGAGGAAACTAAACAGGTCTTCCTACTCGGAGATTTCAGACAGAGTTAGATCTGCAAAGAGAGAAGTCGAGGTTTTGCAAATGGAGGCACTTCTCCAGCCTTCTCCATAATCATTTCAGAAAGTAAATGACTTAAATACCTCCTTTTTTCACAACTCTGTGAAACCTCGCCAAGCTCGTTCCACTATTAAGAGAGTTGTATCTGAGGAGGGTGAGGTCCTAACTGAAGTCAAAGAGATGAGTGAGGAAGCAGTACGATTTTATCAAAAATTGTTGGGCACCAGGAATTCTGATGTCCAGAGAGTGGGCAGTGATCTGATATCCCAGCTTCTGTTTCATTCACTCTCCCCTGAGCAAGCAGCGCCTCTTTGTGGATCAGTTACTTGAGAGGAAGTGAGATCAGCTTTGTTCTCTATGAATGGAGAGAAATCTCCTGGCCCATATGGTTTTACTGCTGGTTTCTTCCAGCATAACTGGGATGTATTAGGGGCTGACATCACAGCTGTTGTTATGGATTTCTTCAGAACAGGAAGGTTGCTTTCTGAGGTAAATTTCACTTATCTAGCTCTCATACCTAAGATGCTGAATGTTGATTGTATGAAACAATTCATACCTATTTCCTGTTGTAACATTTTATATAAATGTATAGCTAAAGTTCTTGCTAATATACTAAAGGAAGTTCTTCCTCTAGGTATTAGTCAGAATCAATCAGCTTTCATTAAGGGCAGGTTGATCAGTGATAATATCCTCTTGGCACATGAGATGGTTAGGCTATACAATAGGAAGTCTGTATCTCCTAGATGTGCCCTTAAGGTGGATGTGATGAAGGCGTTTGACAGTGTGGATTGGACCTATCTAGAGACTGTTATGGAAGCTATGAATTTTCCTGTTCAATTCATTAACTGGATCAGGGTTTGTCTTTAGAGTACCAAGCTTAGTGTATGCTTCAATGGAGGGCTCTGTGGTTACTTTCCATCTCAGAAAGGGTTGAGGCAAGGGGACTCCATATCCCCCTATCTTTTTACTATAGCCATGGAGGTTTTGTCATGCATGCTCAACAGAGCTTATGCTGTCAAAACCCTTCCCCCTCATCCACAAACACATAGAATAGGTTTATCCCATCTATGTTTTGCTGATGATCTCCTGATCTTCACTAAAGGGACACCTGAGGCTGTGGGGAAAACTAAGGCTATTCTGGATGCTTTCGATATAGTTTCTGGATTAAAATGTAACCCTGCAAAGAGTGAAGTCTTCTGTGGAGGAGTGGAGCCTAGTGTCAAGGCACTTATATCTTCTAGCACTGGGTTTGCTATTGGTCATTTACCTGTTCGTTATCTGGGAATCCCACTTATTGCTGGGTAGTTGAGTTCTGCAGATTGTGTAGCTCTGGTTGACAAAATTACTGCAAGGATTAGGGGATGGAGAGTGAAATCTTTGTCCTATGATGGCAAAATGCAGCTCATCTCTGCTGTCATTTCCAGCATAACTCAATACTGGATGGGAATCATTCAGCTCCCAGTCAGAGTTTTAAAGATGGTTGAAAAAGCCTGTTCTGATTTCTTATGGAATACAGAGGAGGATGGGAAAAAAGCAAAGGTCCTCTGGAAAGTTGTAGCTAGACCTAAGAAGGAAGGGGGTTTAGGGTTTAAAGATCTTCGCAGTTGGAACATGGCTTGTCTTGTTAGACATCTATGGGCTTTATCCTCAGATTCATCATCTTTATGGGCAAGTTGGGTGAGGCACTATCACCTAAACTATACATCACTCTGGGATATACCTCCTTCTATCCCTTGCTCTTGGGCTTTGAGGAAGGTGTTGAAAGTTGATGCGTGACAACATCTTGGGCCGAGCCCATTATTATTATTATTATTATTATTATTATTATTATTTTTGTTTTATTATTATTATTTGTTGGGATATTCGGTTATTATTCGGGTTATTCGTATTAGTTTGGGTCTAGGATTATTATTATGTATCTTGTTTAAGAAGTATTCATTTACTTGTTGCTTTAGGTTTGGGTTTCCTTGTCTTAAGAGGAAAGGGGTTTGTAGGATTAATCCTATAAATATGTACCTTTGCTCTTCGTTTTATTAAGTCGATCAATAAAGTATTATTAGTTAGTAGAGAAAAGTAGCTCTTTTATCGTATTTTCTAGTTCTTTCGCTAAATCGCTCGAGATCACTGGTGTGTGAAATCCCGTTCCGCATCAATTGGTATTAGAGCCTGGTTCAAAAGAATCGAGCTCTTACCGACTCCCCGGGCAGACATCGTTGACGTTCAACCACCAATGTCGGGAAGAGGTCATGTGCGCCACCATGTTCCGCAATGACAAGATGGACGGATCACCGATCGAGGTGCCTCCAACGAAGAAGCTAACCCTAGCTTCGTCATCATCGACCGCTGCCATAGTCGGGGAGAATCACCGATCGAGCTTGACGAGACACCGGATAAGCCTCGTAGTCCGGCCAATGTAGAGATCTCCTTGTGCGCTCTGAACGGCGTTTCTAAACCCACGATCATCCGCTTCAACACAACAGTTCACCAAGAACCAGCCATCGTGCAAGTTGACCATGGTTCGACACACAATTTCATAAGCCGCGAAGTTGCAAAGAAGTTGTCCTTTCAAGCTACATCGATTCCGACGTTCGAGGTTAAGGTTGACAATGGCGATTGTCTATTTTGTAACCGTTGTTTTGAAGCTGTTCCTATTGAAGTTCAGGGCACAAGGTTGGTCGTTGAATTGTTTGAGCTTCCTATTCATGGCCTCGAAGTTGTCTTTGGCGTTCATTGGCTTAAAGAGTTGGCGCCTCTGACGATTAATTGGCAGCTGAGGACCATGCGCTTCAAATACAAAAGTACATGGGTCACGTAGCAAGGAGCCATTAATCCCGACAACGAGGTTACAGCTGTCGGCGGGAGTTTGCGCGATAATGACTTCACGCCGCGACGGACCAGATGCTGCAACCGAGGGGGTCAGTCGATTCTTCAAACGTCAAAGCCCATGTAGCCAACACTGAAGGAACTCTCCCCGGCCATTGATGTTGTCCTCTCCGCCGCCACGTCGGCAACCGCCTCGACATGGATTTGCTCCACGACAGTCTGTGAGCGTGATGTGGCTGGACGAGGATCAAACTCGGTGGCGAACAGCTTGATTCAAGGCTGCATCGGACCCTCCATGGGCGGCCTAACTGGGGCTCTCTTGTACGGAGTGGGTTCGATGGTGGCTACGGTTGATAGTGCCATGGGACTTGCGGGTGGAACCATAAAGGAGGTCGGCGCACATTCGTGTACGAAGACCTTGATGTCTTGGGATCCTACGACGGAGGCAAGTACATCCTTTGGTTTTAACAAGGCTAATGATGGAACTCTCTCCATGCCAGGAATTGAAGGCCACGTTGAAGTGCAAGATATGGAGTGGAGGTTTGGTTTTGCATATGGTTTGCGGGGATGGGACGAAGACAACATTGACATGAAAAGAACCTGTCCTGGTACATATGTACGTGAGTTGCATGGGGAATTGCTTTTGGACAATGGAGGTTGCTGGACAAGCCATTTCCTGCATGATGAGATGGAATTGGAAGAAAGGGAGCTCGAGTGGTGTGCAAGAAAGAACTTGATGGTACTCGACGTTTTCAAGGATAGGAGTTTGGTTCGAGTGCCCAAGCCTAATTGGAAATTTCGTAAGCGAGTTTGGCGTCGACAAAGAAATGCTCTCTGCATTATGTATCTTGTTTAGGAAGTATTCATTTACTTGTTGCTTTAGGTTTGGGTTTCCTTGTCTTAAGAGGAAAGGGGTTTGTAGGATTAATCCTATAAATATGTACATTTGATCTTCGTTTTATTAAGTCGATCAATAAAGTATTATTAGTTAGTAGAGAAAAGTAGCTCTTTTATCGTATTTTCTAGTTCTTTCGCTAAATCGCTCGAGATCACCGGTGCGTGAAATCCCGTTCCGCATCAAAAGTTAGACCACTGGCAGCACAACATCTAAGGGTTAGACCAGCAGGGGTGTATTGGGATGACTGTATCATGGACAAATTCTCTGTTAAAAGAGTCAGGGAAACTATTCGAGATAGAACTGCGAATGTGGAGTGGTATAATTTGGTCTGGAGGTCTTTTGGGACTCCAAAAGATAAGCTGATTGTATGGCTAGTCATCCTGAACAGAATTTCCACACTAGACAAGGTGCAGAGTTGGAATAGTTCAGTAGTTAATGTCTGCCCATTATGTTCTTCTGTGGCTGAATCTAGAGATCATCTCTTTTTTCGTGCATAACCTAAATTGGTGGACAGAACATGGGGGGATCAAATTGGGATGAGTCATTGGGGAAGGTTGTCCTGTATTTGCGGCCAAATTGTCAGGTTCCAGATCGTGGTAGGCTTCTTTGGGTGATGGTGGTGGCAGAACTATGGAGGGAAAGTGTTAGAGCGTATATGGTCCACGCTATTGGCCCATGTCCATGCATAACCTAAATTAATCATTGGGCCTTTATTGTGGGGTGTACGTAGGAATTAGGTTGGCCGAGTAGGGTTTTCTCCTAACCTTGGAAGTATATATTGTATGGTTGTATCGATTGGACGGTTTAAGGAATTACAGAAGATAGCTCGGAGAGTGTTGAAACTCTCCCGTGGATTAGTCCTGAATATTTCAGGGATACCACGTAAATCTGTGTCTCATCGTATTTCGTTTTCATATCGATATGTCTAACATGGTATCAGAGCCATCTTCCGGCGATTCTGATCGCCTCAGTATTCGTCTTGATTCCAAGAACTATGCGGTGTGGGAATTTCAATTCCGCATCTTTGTTGAAGGCAAGGGTCTCCTCCCGATCTTTGAAGGAACTTCTACTGAGCCGATCGTACCTCCTGCTACTGAGCAGGCTTTGGAGCGTTGGAATATGAATAATGCTAGGGTGAAAACCTGGCTTTTGGGATCAATCGACCCTTCCATCGTGCTGGGTCTCCGTTTGTTCACTACCGCAGCTGAGATGTGGTCTCACCTCCGCGCAACGTACACCACATCCAATACTGCTCGCCAGTTTGAGATTGAGACCGAATTGGCAGCTTTAAGGCAAGGCGACATGGATATTGCCACCTATTACAATACATCGGTCCGGCTTTGGACTAAGGAAGACCTCCTGTTAGCATCCCTGCGATCTGCCGCAATTTCTGAAGACGTTCGTGCCGAACGAAACCAATCCCGGTTGCTTCGGTTTCTGATGAAACTAAGACCCGAATTTGAATCTGTTAGATCCTCCCTGCTCAAGTGAGATGACCTCAAGTTTGATGGGGTTGTCGGCCGCCTCCTGCAAGAAGAAACCCGCCTTCGGACCCAAGAAAAACTCGACATCAGACCTGGCGTCAGTGAAGCAGTGTTCTCAGCTGAAGCTCGCGCTGCCGAAGACCTCTCCGCCTACGCTGCAACGCGTCCTCAATTTCAGCGCCGGACTGCACCTACGGAGCTGACCTGTAGCTTCTGCTACAAGAAAGGACATGTGCAAAAGCACTGCAAGAAGCGCAATTGTTGCGTATATTGTAAACGATCCGATCATATAATCAGCGAGTGTCGCACTGTGCAACGTCGACAGCAATATGTGGCCTCACCTGGTCGCGCTAAGCCCACTTCTTCTCGTCCTGCCCAGACCTCCTTTGTTGTCCAGCTAGTTGAGACCGCAGCTCCTGCCCTCTCCGCTGATACTGTCGAGAAGCTCATTCACTCCGCCCTTCAAAAGTCTCTTCCTGTCGCCATTAATACCGCCTTTGCAACACTCCAAGTCTCAGGTAAAGTTAAACCTTGGCTCCTAGACTCTGCTTGTTTCAATCACATGACGAGTGATTCTTTATCTCTACATCATGTTCAACCGGTTAACAATCTACAACTACAAGTGGCCAACGGGGCACACATTTCAGTTACAGGTGTTGGGTCAGCTTACCAGCCGCGGGTTAAATTGAATGATGTGTTTCATGTTCCTAAACTTCACCCTAATCTCGTTTCGGTGGGCCAGTTAATTGATGATAACTGCTCGGTTTTGTTCGCACCCTCTGGATGTTTTGTGCAGGATCTGACGACGGGGAGGCTGATCGGAAGAGGGAGTAAGAAGGGTCGCACCTTTACATTAGAGGAGCTCTCGAGTCGAGGATGTCTATCTCCTTCTGAGTCATTGTCGTTACCCCAGGTGTCTAGTGTGTCTCGTCCTATGCCACTCTCTAGTCCTCCTGTTGTTTTTTCTAGTCAGTTGGATAGTACTTGGAATCTTTGGCATAATCGGTTAGGTCACCCAAACTCAAGTCGTTTACATTTGATGTTTAAACAGCAGTTGCTTGGTAATAAATCGGTTGTTTGCTCGTCTACATTGCCCTGTTCTAGTTGTGTTGAGGCAAAGGCCAAAAGTATATCATTTCCCTCCAGTAGCACGGTCATCACTGAACCATTTCATTTGGTCCACACTGATTTATGGGGCCCTTCTCCCATAACGTCACGCAATGGCTACAAGTATTTTGCTCTTTTTATTGATCATGCTACACGTTACACGTGGGTCTATTTTCTCCATCTCAAGTCTGACTTATATGAGGTAGCTACTGAGTTTTTGACCATGATTAGAACTCAATTTGGCAAAAATGTGAAGATCCTTAGATCTGATCCCGGCGGAGAGTTTAGCTCGAACCCGTTGCTTACATACTACAAGGCGCATGGCATTCTGTGTCAAAAGTCATGCCCTGGAGTATCGCATTAGAATGGCGTAGTGGAGAGGAAAAATCGCCATTCCGTTGAGTTGACACGTGCTCTCCTTAATGCCTCCTCAGTCCCTACTCGGATTTGGCCCGAGGCAGTCTCTACTGCCATTCGATTGATCAATTACCAAGTAACTCCTGTTTTAAACAACCAGAGTCCGCAGTTTGCTCTTTATGGCACCCATCCTGACTACTCTCGTCTCCGTGTGTTTGGGTGCTTGTGTTTTGTTCTTCTTCCCCATCGTGAGCGTCATAAACTCTCTTCTAAAACTGTCCGTTGTGCTTTCCTTGGTTACAGTGACATTCATAAGGGTTATTTGTGCTATGACCCCTCTCTAGGTCGCATTCGTTTAGCGTGTCATGTCGTCTTCTTCGAAAATGTCATGTTTTATGAGTCATCCTCTTCCGAGTCAGTTTCCTTACTATTTTCTTCTACTCATTTGCCCTCTTTTGGTGATGACATTGATAATGTTGGTGCTGAACTCCCTCCCGAAATGCCTCCCCCCTCACCAACCTCGACCATGCAGCTGGACTCAGTGCCACCCTCGCCAACCAGTTCCAGCACCTCATCATCCTCGCTGCCCACTACTTCCTCCCCAGCGTTGGCCGCGCCGACCAGCTCTTCTTCAGCGACCAGTTCTGCAACTTCCTCCAGCTCCGCGACGTCCCCACCGCCTCAGCCTGCTGCTACTCGCCATACCCACCGAGCTAATTTTGGCCAGCCGCCTGCTCGCTTTGGGGACTTTGTGGCCCATGCCGTCGATTCTATTCCCATCCCTACGAGGTATTCTCAGGCCAAGGGTAATCCGGACTGGGACAATGCCATTACAAAGGAGTTTAATGCCCTCGATGCCAATAATACTTGGACGATTGTTGATCGTCCCCCGCCAGAAGTTCCGGTTGTCGGCTGTCGTTGGTTATATAACCTCAAGTTCCACCCGGATGTCAGTCTTGAACGCCACAAGGATCGGGTTGTGGCACAGGGATTCACAGAGGAGTATGGGATCGATTTCGATGAAACATTTGCACCGGTGGCCAAGATGCAGACATTCCGAACCTTACTCGCGGTTGCTGCCCTACGCAATTGGCCGCTTTACCAGCTCGACATTAAAAATGCATTCCTTCACGGTGACTTGAAGGAGGTCGTTTACATGGAGATTCCACCCGGTTACCCTCGCGGCTCCCCATGACAGGTCTGTCTTCTTCATCGTTCCTTGTATGGCTTGAAGCAAGCTCCTCGAGCTTGGTTCGAGAAATTTCAGCATACCATTCTGAGCTTTGGGTTTCAGCAGAGTCAAAATGATTCGTCCTTATTCACTCAGTCCACTTCTCGTGGTCGTGTTGTCTTGCTGATTTACGTTGATGACATGATTGTCACGGGTGATGATGATATTGGTATTGAGCAGCTTAAGGCTAATCTCCGAGCCGCGTTCAGTCTGAAAGATCTCGGCTCTCTTTCATATTTCCTCGGCATTGAAGTTCACAGGTCTGACCGTGGCATTCTACTTAGACAGCACAAGTATGTTAATGATTTACTTGAGGAACATCGCTTTGGCGATTGTCTACCGGTTCGTACCCCAATTGAGCTTAATCTTAAGCTGGGGCAAGATTCCGGTGAGCTACTAGCCGATAGTCGAGTATACCGGAGTATTGTGGGAAGTCTCATCTATCTTGTCGCTACACGACCGGATATAGCTTATGCGGTGCAGCTGGTTAGTCAGTTCATGGCTGCTCCTCGTGTTGATCATATGGCTGCTGTTCATCGGATTCTCCGATATCTCCAGGGGACGCGCGATGTTGGTTTGTTGCTTCCATCCTCTGGTGATTTATGCGTACGTGCTTACTCTGACTCGGATTATGCAGGTTGTGTAGATGCCCGTCGTTCCACGACAGGCTGGTGTATTCAGTTAGGTGATGCCTTTATTTCTTGGAAATGTAAGAAGCAAGACAAGGTCTCCAAATCGTCCACGGAGGCTGAATACCGTGCAATGTCTGATGCTGGTTCTGAGATGGAGTGGTTGCATCGTCTGTTGGGTGATCTTGGTGTTCGCATTCCATCTCCTATGGTCTTGCACGTGGACAACACCAGTGCAATTCAGATTGCTGTTAATCCCGTCCTTCATAACCGCACGAAGCACATTGAGGTCCACATTCACTATATTCGTGATCCCGTTTGTGCTGGTACGATACAACTACGGTATATTCCTATGGAAGATCAGGTGGCGGATTTGCTCACCAAATCCTTTACCACGAGTCGTCACTGGTTTCTAGCTAGCAAATTGATGCTTCGGGATCAGCATGAATTTGGGGGAGGCTGTTAGAGCGTATATGGTCCAAGCTATTGGCCCATGTCCATGCATAACCTAAATTAATCATTGGGCCTTTATTGTGGGGTGTACGTAGGAATTAGGTTGGCCGAGTAGGGTTTTCTCCTAACCTTGGCAGTATATATTGTATGGTTGTATCGATTGGACGGTTTAAGGAATTACAGAAGATAGCTTGGAGAGTGTTGAAACTCTCCCGTGGATTAGTCCTGAATATTTCAGGGATACCACGTAAATCTGTGTCTCATCGTATTTCGTTTTCATATCGATGTGTCTAACAGAAAGATGCATAAGGGTTATGGCTGGAGAACTGCTGTCTGAAAATCAGCTTCTTTGTAAATTGCAGGGGTTACTGAAGCTGCTAAGAAGTGGCTTTCCCCAGGTTGAGTTGGCTATCTCTAAAGCCTTCATTGATAGTATAGTGTAGTGTAGAAACCACTGTTAGCAGATGTTTTGTTTTGGTTGTGTTCTGGTTTTGGTTGTGTTCTGTTGCGGTTTGTATTGGTATATTGACTGGTTCCCGTTAGGGGTTACTTTTATTAAGTTCCCCTTTCTTGATGATTAAAGCAACTTGTTCATAAAAAAAAATTGGAGATGAGGTCCAGCTTTTGCCGAAAAAACGACTTTGATCATAGTGAAGAAAAACAGTGAAATCAATACACTCACACACAAAACGAAGTGGATGAAAGTTCAATGTCGTCCACGGGAATCAAATCTAGCTTCTTTTTTTTTTTTTTTCTGAAGTGGAACAACCTAATGAGACAATAATAGACGATCGAAGAGAGAACAAGCTAATGCGACAACAATCATCATCAACCATGAAACTGTTTAATTTGTTTTTGGACTTTATTAGCGCTGGTCCATGCATCTTTGATTCCTCATATGGTCGTGGAGCAGAGAGAGAGAAGTGGTAGACAAGTGCTTATTTCAACTCGAACATAAGATTAAACACGCGCGCAATGGATCGATCTTTGAATTGTTGAACACTTGACAACTACTGCAGCAAGGGTTCTTGCTTGCTGTCATCCCACCTATTCAGTCTTTTCTCTGCTATCTCCACCTGCATTTCATTTCATTTCATATATTGTTGTTAAGTGTTAACCCATCGTGAATTAATTGGTCCTATCAAACAAAACTACCTTTACAAGTGTAAAAATTTGAGAAAGAAATTTGGAAATTTTGGTTTTGTCCCATGATCAAACTTTTAACCAAAAGTTTACGGGTGGGTTATATAAGACATTAATAAATGATAGAAGCATTATGAACTTACTTCTTTTTTCCAGTCGGTACGATACGTAACCCAAACCAGAATGACGGTTTGACATATGGTGCCACTCAGCAAACCGGTCCATATTCCCTACAAAAAAACCCACAACAACACAAACTCGTCATTGTTGTCATCGAATCAATGAAGTGGGCGCGGCGCTCACTATCGCCACGTCCCGTAAACTTTGGCGACCCCAATGTTGCAATTATACAGACTAGTAGCTAGTAATGGAGACGGTACATTGACAAGATAGAAAGATAAGGCAGGTAGTACGTTATTGGTCCACAGATTCCTGACACATTGCAACCAACTAATAAAGGCTTTCCATTCCGACCCATCAATTATTGATTATCGAATCAACCTGTTTCCTCATTTGGGTGTTGAAATTACGACCAAGCACAGCCACGAACGAACGTGCTTTTCAATTTTTGCACGCAAGTCCCACTTATGTTAGGCATTTTGAGTGAGCAATCGTGTCCATACAATAAGATGACTATGTTATGTTCCTATGTGGTGTGGGTACTACTAATTGCATGGATGATACAATTAATCATTGCTGTAAACCATGATTAGGGTTTTGGAGAAGCAAAAGAAGAAGAAGGAATAATTTATGGGGGTTATTATTATTATTATAATGTAAACGTACCTTAGCACCCATCTTGAAATGGAAACCCAGAAGAGCGCCCAACGGGACTCCAACAACGTAGTAGCAGATCACATTTACGTAAGCCACGAAAGCTTGCCATCCACATCCCACCGCCACTCCTGCAGTACTCCTCATCACAAGCAACAAACACACCAAGCCAGTAAGTAACCCAAACACGTCTCAAGAGTTATGTGTAATTCAGGAGGAGCTACATCTTCCCCTCTCGTCGATTTTGTATCCAAAATTATAATGTGTATTCTCGTTTGTAATGAGAAACGTACGCAGAGAAAATAAAATTACACTGTTTGTTCGCGACTAAAGATAGGTCGGTACCCTACCCACCAAATTTTTGGTAACATATATACAAGTGGACAAGCTAAAGAGACGAGACAAGTTTTGGCAACATATACGCAAGTCGACTAGCTAAAAGACGCCAAGAAACAGTTTATAATTAATGAAGATTCTGTACGCCGAGAGACAACATTTTGTATACCAACAAAATATAAAAGCCAGTCTACATTAAAAAGGTACGCACAGATCGAAAGAGAGTTCCGTTTGTATTTTCAATCTCTGCAGAAAATAAAGCTTTTGTCCTTTTGAGTATATGAATATAGTATGGTGATGAGAGGAGCACGTAATCTTTTAGTGGAAACAAAATTATATTCAACATATCCACGAATCGAACAAAATGTACTAGTAGGACGAAGAAAAAAAATCAGAATAATCAACTTGCCTGAGAGTACAGGTTGAACTCCGTTGAAGACGATGGAAACGGCCAGCAACGGGCACAGATCGGACACCGCCGCCGACACTGCCTGCCCGCCGGTGAAAGCCAGCCCGATCACGTCGCGATATATCATCACCAGAATCGCCAGGACGATCGACACCAAGCAGGAAACTCCGGTCACCATCACCACCGAGAACGCCGCCGATTTGGGATGCGCGGCCCCAAGCTCATTGCTCACCCGAACACTGTCATCAATTAATTGATAATTAATCACAACTAGGATAATTAATTAACTAGTGAAACAGTAAAAAAGTAGGTTGATGAAAGACAAAATAATGTATCACCTCGCAGCCGCATTGAACCCCATCGAAATGGTAAAGAACCAACCCAATAAGGTCGTACTGCCAACAACAATAATTGTTCAGTTCATCAATGGAGACACAATAATGAATGAAGAAAGAAAGAAAGGGAAAGAAAAAGGAAATGGAAAGCCAGCCCACTTGTCGTTTTCCGACCCGAACCCGAACCCGACTACTCACCAAATGGATAGCGAATCCAGTGAAAGCTCCGGATTCTCCAGCATCCCGGCGAGCAAAACGAGCACATCCAAATACCACTGCTCCAGCGCCAGCATAATCCCCGACGCCACCGACAGCTTGAAGAAATCCCACAATCCATGAAACGCCTGCACCGAGAACCCGGTCCAGGTGTGCCTGCACGTCTCGCTCTTGACGATGTAGAGGAACTGCAGCCCGCTGAGCACCCACCACGACAGGCTGAGCGCCAGGGCCGCGCCCAGCAGCCCAATCCCGAGCTTGTAGGCCACGACCCAGCTCATCCCCAGGTGCACGATCAGCACCACCACCGAGATGTAGGCGTTGGGCATCACGATCGACTGGGCCTGCAGAAACTTCTGGATCGGGAAGTTGGCCGCGTACGCGAAGATCTGCGGGATCAGCCCGTACACGTACAGGCTCGCCGCCGTCGCGATCGCCTCCGACTGCCCCAGCAGCAGCAGGAGCTGCCTCGAGAACACGTACATCACGCTCACCCCGACTCCCACCAGAGACAGCAGCACGAAAGAACGCTGCAGGTAGATCCCCATCATCTCGTACTTCTGCGCGCCGTACGCCTGCCCGCACAGCGTCTCCACCGCGCTCCCCAGTCCCCACTGCCATTTTTTTATACATAAATAAATCAAATTTCTTTATCAATTAAAAGAACCTCGAAGTTGCTCGACTCAAAAGGGTACCATGATGCCGTAGGCGAAGAGCTGGATGCCATTGTTGCCTAGGGAGGCGGCAGCGAGCTCGAGGTTGCCGAGGTGGCCGGAGAACATCTGGGTGGACATGGACATCATGAATCCGGTGACGTAGACGACGGTGGAAGGGGCGGCGAGGTGGAAGAGGAGCTTCCACTCGATCCAGGAGGCGGCGGCGAGGCGGTTCACGAGGGGCAAGGTGCGGTCGGAGAGCTTGTTCTCGAGCTCCTCGCTGGCCTCGGAATTGAACTCGCCGAGGGAAGTGGAGCGGTGGCCGACGAGAGGTTGGTGGTGGCTGGTGCCATGATGGTCCGTCGCCATGGCCGACGGGGAGGAGGAAGGGTTTGATTTGATGGGGTTTTTTTGGTTTGTGTGTGGTGGTGGTGCGACTAAGCTACAGGGAGTAGAAGAAGAAATATCACTCCACCTGTCCAATGGGGTTTTATATGCTACTGGAGGACTGGAAGTTATTATTATTATATTGTTATTATTAGTTATATTATCAAGAAGAAGAAGGGTATGTATGATTGATTGCTATCATTTGTTTTTTTTTTTTTTTTAACCTTTTCATTTAATTTATTTTTGCCCGTTTTTTTCCAACCACTCAGTTTTCTTCTCTTGGGTTCCTGTCTCTCGACCACAACTTTCTTTCTTACTTTTCCACCAAAAAGCAGGCGTCATCGGAAACAACAAGGGTAAGGAATTCATCTTTCTTTAGCTCTCTACCCTATACCTTCTCTCATCCATCAATCAGCTTTCAATGCGAATTGAGATCGATCGACGGAGATGCCACCGAATCAGGACACAAGGATAGCATCTATGATCTACCTAATTGTCATTCATTCAAACTTAACTCCTCTTCTATTTTAATCTCATTTTTTGTTTTTTGTTTTTTATTTTCTGGTTCTACAAATGAAAATATAGACTGAATATATGCTTAAATTAGTTTTCATATGTTGTTGTGGCACGCAAAACACATTGACAACACTATAGAAGTGAGTTGAAATGAGTAAAACCACGATAAATCATTTTCTTGATGTTTTCAAAAGTTGTTCACTGTGTGATCCTATACCGTTGTTGGAACAATTTAATCAAAATAGTATATGACCAAATTTTGCTAAACCCACTTTCTAATGAATTTTTATTCTCTATTTTGGTTAAAAAATATCATCTCAAAATCTTATTGCTAATATTATTTTTATGTATTTTTTATCTCTCAATTTTTTCTATAACTCTTCATGCAAAACTATTCCTTCCATTGTTTTCTACTTTTGTATTAGTGTCGATATTGATACTAAATGGGGACTAAAGAAGTAATTATATACTTATTTATTTCCGATTATAAATTTTAAGATTTTCTAGAATTACCAAGTAAACATATTTTTTGTTTTCTATTTTCATACTGTTATGGTTGTAACTTTGGTGTACAACTCTTGCGCAACTCCAACAACACCAAACTATACCGAACTAGCCATATCTGATTGCTAGAATTAGTTTCTCTCATTTATTTTTGCCCCCTTTTTTCCCAACCACTCACTTTTCTTCTCTTCAAGTCCTTTCTCTCCCAACTTTCTTTCTTTCGTTTCCTAGCAAGGTTGCAAACCGGTTTATACCGTTATGCTGGTTTGGCAAGTGGAATAATACGACCGGTGGTATAACCAGTTTGTGCCGGCTCATGCCGGTTAAAAAAAACGTGAAAACAATTAATATCTATTATATTTAATCATATATAAAACATATTTGTGGACAATTTAGTTGAAATCCAACAAATATCATCAACTTTTAGCTATTACATTCATAAAATGAATAATAAATTTATTTCTTTATTCATTAAGTTCATTAAAATGATGTCATTTTACTTAGAATGCGTAAGTCGATCATACCAATCATACCGGTGGTGTCATACCGATCATACCGGTGGTGTCATACCGATTTCATGACCGGCACCGGTTGAACCAGATTCAACCGGGTGGCATACCACCGGCATGACAATTGACAACCATGCTTCCCAGGTTCACTTCCATTCCCTTCTTCCACTCGTCAGCTGCATGATTGATTGGGGACCAGACCCAAACTGCGGGAAAGTAAAGTTCCTCCAAAAAAACTCTATTATTTTCGTGGATTTATGTTTGAAATGGACCTGCCCGGCTGGTTTAATTAGACTTTCTTTTTAATTATTTCCCTTTGTAAAGTATACAGGAGATCCACTTGTTTGTCATATCAACAGAATCAATTAAAATGATTTTTTTATTACTAATTTATGATTAAAAACTAAAAATCATCGTAGGGGAAACGATTATTACTCTTCGATGTTGTCGTTCAATTGCATGCCAAACTTTAATATGTTGTTTCACTCTCGCTAGCCCCGGGTTGGATCCAGTCCTTAAACCCTATTCTTTAAGGAGAATCTTAAATTCATTATAGCCAATAGAAGAAGGAGAGAGATAAACAATAACAATAATTGATTAACTACCCAAAAGGGCACTGCAAGAAAAAAAAATGGCATTAAATTCAATAGGTTAAAAAAAGAAAACCAACTCCACTCTTAAATTCGGTGGCTAATTAATACAAAAATTAAAAATAGGAAAATAGAAACCCGAAATATTATTTAATATTTAAAAAACCAAATTTTAAAATACAAAATATCTACTCTCCCTCTCTTATTGTGACTTGCAACATCATTATTAATGTTTTCACTAGTATTATTAACGTTTATGAAATAAATCATTAATAATATAACTATTATTATTAACAATTTCAGTAAGCTTATCAATATTTTACGATTATATTGTTAACAATTTTGATCAATTATGAACGATTTACATTTTCGTCGTCAACGTTTACAATGGAATTATTAACGTTGTATCACATCATTATTAATGAAAAAAATTATCATTAATTTACAACATATTTATCAACAATTCAAATTTCCACGTCATGCTCATAACTAGCAAATTAGGACCTCTTACAATGACTTCTAATGACATTATGAACTTTTTGAGATTAATTAATATCGCTTTATGTTATCATTCTCAGTGATCATAAAGCACAATGTTTATTTTTTTTACCTCTTCTATACTGACATAGTGCACCTATGATTCGATATTCAATAACGAGATATCAAATCATTGATAACAAAATTGTATTTTATTGATAACAAGCACAAAAATGTTTAAAACAATGTTGTATTTGGTTCGAAATTAAAATATTTTATTGTGTTGAATTTCACAAAACTAATCAATGCTTTAAGATTATTAACAATTTTAGATTGATTTGTTAACGATTTACATTTTTAGTCATTAACAATTATGAATGAATTATTATAATTAACACTTATGAATGAATTATTATAGTTATGTAACATAATCATTAATGATTTGAATAACGCTATCATTTATTTACAACTTATTTATTAACGATTCGCATTATCAAGTCAGGTTCATAACTAGCCAATCATGGCCTCTCACAACGACGTCTAATTACATAACGTTTATGAAATAAATTATTAATGATATACGTATCATTATTAATGGTTTTATATACTAATTCATGGTTAATATTATAAGAGTTTACATCTAAATATTGATAATGACAATCTTAATCATTAATAACTAAGTTGTGTTTGCGTTGAAAATACAAGCAAAATCATTGACAATGATTGCATCAAAACGGGTAATATCCATGATAAATGTTATTAACAACTCTCTTCTCAAAACGTTGATAACAATATAATAAATATCAATAGCTAAGTTGTGTTATGCTTAAAATGAAAATAAAATAATTGATAATGATTGGATTTAATGAGCGTCAACCATACTACATATTATTAATAATTATTTCTCAAATATGGATATGCTCATACTCATCCCTTAATAATGATACGAATTATGATAATACTTATTAGGAAAACTTTAATAATCATAGCGTAAAGCATTAACAATACCTATATAAAAAATGTTAACAACATTGTTGTAAACTATTCAAAAGGAGAACAAAAAATATTAACAATGCTTGGATCCTAGCTAAATAGTTATCAACGAAACACATTAACAATAAACTATGAAAGGTTAATAATTGTTACAGTGATGCAATAACAAATGGTAGCATTGCTTTATGGTATTCTCAACGTTTTTTTGATAAAATTTTTCTCAATCGGTCATATTGTTATCAACGTTACCGCATGATGTTGTAACGATAGAAAACATCATTATTATCGCTTTCAAATTAATATTCGGTGTTTTATGATACCATTATTAATGATTTCACGTCATTTTTCAATGAAAACTATAAAACGTAGACTTTGTTAACGATGTTGACAAACAAAAAAGGCAAAGAAAAATGCATTTGTTTTATAATTTGTCCACCCACAATTTGAAATTGGAAAGTGAGGAGAAATCTAGGTATGCAACAGCAAACTGGGTTACACCCAAAAACTATAATTTAGCTTTATCAAAGACCTCTGCGCCATGACCAACGATGCCAACGAGTGCTTGCTCGACTTTCTGGCAAACACGCCCAGGTCGGACCCTGCCTTTGTCATCTAGGCCGAGAAGCGCCTCAGCGCCTGCCTCGACAACTACAAGACGGCCGCCATGAGCCTCGACAAGCCTCGACGAGCTTCAATTTGGAAGGACTCTCACTGTCGTTCGCTGCATTCTCAACGCCATGGCGGCGACTAATCGTAGCTTGGTTCCATTGCTACTCTCCTCCCCAATCCGCACCGGCTTGGCTTTCCTAGATTGGGGGTGTTTCCAGGTTCTACCAAACCACTTTTCAGAGTCATCGAAAAGTAGGAAAATAATGTAAAACCCCAACAAGCAATAAGATTGTTTTAAGATTCTTCTTAAGTAATGAGGCTTAAGGACCTGAACTCAAGCCCGCTAGCCCACATCATACGAGATCCTCAAATCAGAGCTATAGGATTAGTATTATGACTTCAATTTGCAGTAACGAGTTCTAGCTGAGTTCACAACCTCGAGATTACGTGTTCGATTCATAACTGACAGGAGAACTTATGATCGCTACTTTTGAGGATTAATTATTCTTGCATTTTGAGGTTGGCGCTCACTAAAAGAACGAATCGGCTATTAGAATCCTAGCCATGAAGTTGCCAGGGTGCTTGAATTCGAAGAGAGCGATGTTCTTGACGGTTTTTGTGTTTACAAGGAATCGATGATTCTGGTGTTAAAGAGGTGGTATTTAGAGGAGTCATAAAGTGGGTTTGATGTTTGAAGATTACGAGGATGGAGAAGAACAGTTTTCTATTTGTTTAAATTTTTTTGCAATCATAAATTAAATAATATTTTATGGATTTATTTTGCTTACATGAATCTTAGACCATTCACAATGGTGGAAGGAAAAAGAGGGAAATTTGGGTGAGAAAAGAGGGTTTGGTAAAGGGTTTTGCCACAATGGATGAAAGGGAAAATAGGGTAATTGATAGGGGTTTTTTTTTTTGCAAAATCTATTTAGTGTTAATCTCATATTATTATTTAGATAATTTATTCATAATTTTTATATAGGTAGTAATAATTAATTAAAGCGAACATTTCAATATAATTTTTTATAATTTGGACAGAATTTTTTTATTACTAATTAAATATGACGTCATTAATAACGAAAAAATATAGATGTTGGAAATATGATCATTGGAAAAATAGCTGTTAAAAATATGAATGTTGAAAAATATTATCACTAACCAATAACACACAATCATCACTAATTAAAATAACTAAACCAATCATAAAACAAAAAGAAAAAAAACAAAAACCATCGGTTGCCACCCACCCCTATTTCTTTTCCTCTCCTCCATTTATCCTCTAGTGAAGGGAAAACCCAACCCTCCCACTTTTTCCTTTTTTTTTTTTTGGCAAAATACAGTTCCATAGCCAAAACTTTCACGTTTGTGCCAATAATAGCCACATTTGGAAAAATACCATTTATAGCCAAGTCCGTCCAATTCTTTAACGCTGTTAACGTTAAGTGTGATTGGGCAAACGGAGCAGCTTACGTGGACCGTCACAGATTTCCACGTGGACAATGATTAAAAAAATTACAAAATCAGAAACCACTAATTTTTACCCACCCACCTTTTTGTTCTCTCTTTCCTCTTTCCTTATCCTCTTCATCTAACCCCTTTGAATCCCATCGACGAAGGCGGCGGCCACGAAGGCGACGAAGGAGAGGACCTTCCTCCGACGAACCCCGTACCACCGCTATTCCTTCCTCCACCATCAATATACACCCCTCCTCTAGTCTCGATTTTTCTCCATCGATCGAGTTGAACCTACCGCCTCCTTCCTCGAGAAACACATACAGAGGATGGGTTGACTAACCGACGCTGAGCTTTGGCCGAGTCCTTCGAGGCTTCTTCTCTTCTGTATGCTTTGGAGGAATCTCGGAATTGAGCGATGTGATTCTACTGTGAAACCCTAATCTCACTTCAATGCTCGATTTGTGCTCTCCCTCGTCAATCGCGACTGGTAAGGATCGACATCCATAGAACTGCCTGCCTGGGTTCAACTCTGTGCCGGATGTCTTGACCACACATGGCTTATTGCACCAACAGTGTAACACGCCTAGTTTCTGAGTGCTAGTCGAACTTGAGGAAGCTGCTCGCCTGGACATGCCTGCAGCTCGCTTGAAGTGCTGGACAGGAGAAATCGCGGAAGGAGAGGGTTGCGTCGTTGCGAGTCGGCAGAGTGTGGGATTTAGGGGAAGAACCCTAATTCCGAAATCGGAATCGATCAGAAGGGAGTAGAGGATTCGTGGAGAGTGGAAAGTGGAAGTTTGGGGAAGAACCCTAATTCCCAAATCGGAAGAGGATTCGTGAGAGGAGAGGAAAACTGGGGACAAACCCTAATTTTTAAATCGGGCAAAAGTTGGGGGGCTGAAGGATTCGCTTCGACGCAAATGGGAATATATGGTACATTTTTTTTAATAATGTAATATATGACGTGTCCGTAATTGCTTAGTTGGCGCTGACGTGTTCGATTTCTTCTCGCCTAATCAGCAAACCGTCTACTAATTTGATGGTGTTACTAACACCGTCAATGTTTCTAACAGAAAATGCTATATTTGTCCAACAACATTTTCAAAAGGTGGCTATAAGTGGTATTCGCCAAATGTGGCTATTATTGGCACAAACGTGAAAGTTTTGGCTATACAAGTGTATTTTGCCTTTTTTCTACTGTATTATGGGATTTCCCATCCATTTTTCTTCTCCCTCCTCCATTTGTCCTCTAGTGAAGGGAAAACCCAACCCTCCCACTTTTTCCTTTTTTTTTTCTACAGTATTGTGAGATTTCCCATATCATTTTCCATCTTTTCCCCTTCTTGTTGTGTGTAGTCTTACGTTTAGGGGTTTGTCAGCCACACATGCACATTTTAACAGAGAACTTATATGGCTATATTTGTCTATAATTTTAAAAAATGATGTTTTATGATATTTCATTTAGTTTCGATTATTTCTAACCAAACATAAAATTTTGCCCTATGTTTGGACATTAACCAAAAATTATATTAGTTACTTTTTAATTGGATAATGTTCTAGTCTATATTTATTGATCTTGTTATTTTGGTTTGAGTTTCGATAGCCTAGTCATATATTCCTTTGTTTTGTACTAAACTAATTATATGCACATATCTTCACGTCATAAAGTAACCACGTACCTAATCGCAGACAAAGCTAGCCATGTGGCATGTGGGTACAATTTTGGAATTACGTTAATTATTATTTATGTGTGGGTAAGGTGAATCAAAATTTTATTTAGTGGTCTGCTGGTTGTGTATTAATTGGCCTCAGCTAGTACGTTTTTTTTGGGTACACACTCAAGATATTCTCCGTTTGTGCAATACTCATATAAATTTTACCTTGTATGTATATCAAAGTGATTTCTTGTAAAATCAGACATGATAGCAATGCTCCATAGTAATTTAATTTCAAAATTCTTACAAAAATTCTCTAATTTCATCCAAAAATGCATTTTGTAAGTAAAGATGAGTTTCTTACTTATAGACCATAAATCTTTCATATACTTTGCCAATATGAGATTCACCTAAATTGTTACCATAGATCGACCCGCCAAATTATCACTCTTTGAGTCATTTTAGTTTTTGTTTTTCAGTTACTTTTTGCCATATCCCACTCTTCCACTTAATTTTCACCTTCAACCGTTTTGTGTACCTGTTTTTTTATGTTACAATTATTATTTTTATTGTTGATTACAGTTCATGATGGTTTGGATTCTCTAATAGATAACAATAATGCATTATATCGAGATAATTAAATTGTATAAAGATGACCGACGTACTAAAATATTATATAAATCACTCAAATAGTCAATAAAATACCAAGATAAATCATTTATGCTTATGTTTGGCCCTATTTTTAGAAGTGTTTTTCAGCTTCAAAAGATAAAGCAGGGCCCAACACCTCTAAAACCTCGGGTTTTGAAAAGCCGAAAAGCGCTTTCGTATTAGCTTAGTTTGGCCCTGCTGTAGTTTTTGTAGAAGCAGTTTCTAGCTGGAGCTTTTGGATAAGTACTTTTCAAAAAAAGTAGTTGAGTGTTTGGCTGTAAAACCCTTAGAAGTGTTTTTAATATGAGAGGTTGTGTAAAATGACTATAAAGGACTTATAATATAAAATATGAATAAAAATTTTAAACAATAAAAAGTAGTCAAAATGGATCTTGTTAGATTTCTTTAATATTAAATAATATGATTTTATAATTTATTTTATTTTTCAAATGATATAAATGAAGAAAAATTATATTGTCTGAAATAAAATTAAAATATAGTAAGGATAATCTTGTATTTTCAAAACAGCTTTTCGCAGAAGCTCCAAATCGGAGCTTATACTTTTATGTTATACAAACGCGCTTTTCGGCTTTTCAAAAGCTGAGCTTTTAGAGGTGTTTGGCCCTGCTTCAGCTTTTGAAGCCGAAAAACACTTCCAAAATCCGGGCCAAACATAGGGAACATAAAAGCATAAGCTCCGATTTGGAGCTTTTGCGAATAGCTGTTTTGAAAATACAAGATTATCCTTATCGTATTTTAACTTTATTTTAGAAAATACAATTTTATTTCATTTATATCATTTTAAAAATAAAATAAATTATAAAATCATATTATTTAATATAAAAAAATCTAACAAGATCCATTTTGACTACTTTTTATTACTTAGAACATTTATTCATAATTTATATTATAATTTATAAGTCCTTTATAATCATTTTACACAACCTCTTGTATTAAAAAGCACCTCCAATAGTTTTTCAATCAAACACTCAACTCCTTTGTTTAAAAAGTAATTCTCTTTTTTTTTATAAAGATTAAAAAGTATTTCTCTAAAACCCCAACAAGAAACAGCATGGCCAAACTATATCTCACCGAAATTTTTATTGAAAAGTTATTTTGAGTGAAGATGTCATGTATGGTAAAGAAAATAATTTTTAAAAAGTTTTTATATGTAGTATCGAAATGTTACCATGATTTGGAACTTTTGATTGCGGTAGATATTAAATTATACAAATAAATACCTTTAATCTTTAAATTTCTATGGTTCCATCATACAATAATAATTTATGAAAAAATTTAAAATTTTAGGATTATTACAATTTGCTAGCCAAATCTTCCAAAATTTTCAAATTATTAGACAAAATTTTCAAATATAGAATATTAGCTAAAATAATAACTACTCGTTAACAATTTTGTTAATAAATTGACTTGACAACATACTAACACGAATGTTAAAGGCAATGCTCACTAAAAACACGAATCAGCTGTTAACAGCCTAGTCACGACTCTGCCGAAATGCTTGAATTCAGAGAGAGGAATGTTTTTATAGTTTGTGGTTACATGGAATCCATGATTCTGGTGTTCAAGAGGAGGTATTTAGAGGAGCTATCGAGTGAGGTTTAGTGTTGGTAGATTACGGGGATGGACGGTGCGGGGCCAGGACTTGCCGGTGGATAAAGGAGAAGAATGGCTTTTTTCTATTTGTTTAACTTTTCGTTTAAGAAATATATTTTATTGATTTTTTTGCTTACATCTATCCTGTGTCTGTTCGCACATGAGCAAATTTTAAGGGATGGCTATATTTGTCCATGATTAAAAATGCTATTTTAAGATATTTCATATAGTTTTGATTATTTTTATCCACAATTTAAAAATTTTGCCCTATGTTTGTGTATCAACCATGATTGACATCAGACATGAAATCGTCGTAAACATCACCGGTATGATCTATTTATGACATCTAAGTATAATGACGTCGTCTTAGCGAATTTAATTAATAAAAATATAATCAATTATTTATATTATGAATTTAAAAGTCAATATTGACATTATTTATTGGATTCAAGTATAAATATTTAGATATTGACTTTAAATATTGTATAACCTAATTATATTTGTTTGAGTTTCAATTACCTAATTATATTTCGTTTGGTTTGTATAACCTAATTATATTTATGTGTACCCATTTGCCTGGTTACCCACATCCCATATTTATGTGTACATATCTTCACGCCATGAAGCAACCACATACCTAACAAGGATAAAGCTAACATTGTGGCATATGGGGCCATGACCATCTACAATTTTGGAATTACGTTAGTTATTAAAGAAGGTGAACCAAATATTTATTTTGTGGTCTGCTGGTCGTGGATTAATTGGCCTTTGGTAGCAGGAGTGGGCAACGGGACGGGACGGGATACCCGTCCCATTTGAAACGGGTACCAATCCCGTTTGGTGACCAAAGTCCATCCCATGTCCCAAATATATATGGGTAACGGGTACCCATTACTCGTACGGGACGGATAACGAGTACCCATATTATCCATAAATACCCGTACGACAATCATCACCTGAGGCTACGACGTTCGAAATTGGAGAGTTGAGCTTGAGCAGAACTGTCGGGTGACTACTGCTGGTGGGTGACGGCTACGATGACGGCGAGTCGTATTTCCTAGTCTTGAAATAACCCAATTTAAAAACTCCGCCTGCCGATACGATGGTGTGGTTGCCGGAAAGTACACGGGTTGGAGTGATTCGATCTCGCTAGAGGGGATACTTGACTTCGATGACGCCTTGGGGAGCAGCAACGGGAGTTGCAGTTACGACGGAGGCGATCGATGATGGGATGAGAGGAGGCGGTGCGGCGGCGGCGGCGAGGTCTCAGGCGGTGGACCAGTGGTTAGGGTGAGTGGTGACTAGATGATAGGAGTTGTGGCTGCGCGGTGACTGCGCCTCTATCGCGAGGCCGAGGAGAGGGTCGAGGGAGAGCTAGCTAGGTCACTCGTCTGTTGGGAAGGGTCAAAGGACAAAAGGGTTTTTCCATTCTGGATGGGTTGGGCCTATGTGATTGAAGACAGGCTTTCTGTCTTTGTTTTTTGAATGGGTATAACGGGTATCCATATTACCCAAATGGGTATTTGCGGGTAACCTGCGAGTACCCAAATTAGGAATATACAATCCCAAGTCCCGTCCGTTAATAATATTACGGGTAATATGAGTATCCGTAACCCGCAAAAAACGGAACGGGTACGGGTATACCCAAATACCCGTTTCTCGTTGCCCGCCCCTATTTGATAGTACCGTAGCAGGTTCATCTTCTTCATAATTTTTTTTTTTTGACAAAGTCAGGTAGTAGGTTCGACCCGCCAAAAATCATTGAGTCATTTTAGTGTGCTTTTTTCAATTACTCTTTACCCCTATCCCACTTTTTCACTTTTCACCTTCAACCGTTCTGTACTCTTATTTTATATGCTGAATTATCTTTTGTTGTTGATTACAGTTCATGATGGTTTGAATTTTCTCATAGATAAAAATAATGCATATATATCAAGCTATATCGTATAAAAGATGATCGGTGTACAAAAAAAGGATGTTATAAATCTCTCAAATGGTCAATAATATACAAGCTAAATCATTATCTCACAGAAATTTTGATTGAATAGTTATTTTGAGTGAAGATGTCATGTATGGTTAAGAAAATTAATTTATTAATTTTTTTATAGGTAGTAGTGAAATGATCCCATGATTTGAACCTTTGAAAGTGGTAGATATTAAATTATACAAATAAATACCTTCAATCTTTAAATTTCTAAGGTCGCATCATACAATAATTTACAAGGAAAAAAATTCAAATTTTAATTGAAAAATTGAGGTAATAGTAATAATTTTGTGATAAAACCCTACCATTTGAGCTTTGATACGACTAATTAGAATGATATGGGTTTGGAGTTTGGACGCCAAATCCATAATTGGACCCCGCAACCAAAATCATGACTTCCTCTCTTCATCTAACGAACTTCTTAATTAAACTTGATCCGCTTCTCAACAGACCATTTAAAATCGATTACGACTAATCATTCATTGGTTGTGGGCAATTGATGAAGTCCCGGCCCCCGTTCCACCTTACTTCCATTCCGAATTTTCGATTAAGTGTGCGACCTGCCAGGTGCCAGCCACCACGCCTTATTTTGTTGACATATGATAAATTCTCGACCAAATGAAATGTCACCTATAAATACTTAAATGACTTGTCCTTGCATTAAAAAAAAGTTACTAATAATCACATAAAATTGGTTGTGATTTATATTTATTGCGATCAATCACCTGTATTTCTCAACCATAAATGTGGACTATGACAATCAAATTAAAATGGTCATGGAAAACCAAGATTCTTTACCATTCGCAAAAGTGGTTGCTATAGCTTTTCTTTTCACTACCAATCATCACTCTGGTTGCCGTAGGAATTCGTAATGCGCATATAGCGACCAACTCTTCTGCCAAATTGTTTTGGTTACGAATAGGTATTAATAACATAAGTTTTGATTTTTAGGGACCAATTTTATTAGTAGTTAAAAGCGTTTTTTTCTTATAGTGTCTAGTACATATCATCCCATGGCCAAAAGAGAAAAAAACAAACAGTAAAAAGAGACTGCAGCTAACCTGCTTTAAACCAGCTGGACCACCGGATATGAATCGGAAAGTAGGTGTGGTAGATATGAAGAAGCCCCACTGACGACCGGAAATCAATCGGCCGAATCAAAGATCTCCGGTCCTTCTTTCCCATTGAAGTCGAGGGCCGCGGCCAACTGTAGTTGGACTCGCTCCGCTGGACAGTAACTTGGGAACCAACGAAGATACTTTTTTTTTTTTTTTTACTCAATCAATCGATTGCTGGAAATTGAAGAGCCGTGGTGGGGGCCCGTGAAATAATGGTCAGTACATTCACTGCATGGGATGGCCTTGTTTCTTGGCCCAAAATGGACTGCTGACTAGCTCGACCGCGAAATGTGAAAACGAAGCAATTATCCTCAAGGCAAGCCAAGCCGAAAAAGCAAGCAAGCGAAATTCACAAACATAGTGAAACCGTATAATAGGTTATATTGGAAAAGTTAGTATTAGGGATTTTGTAATAAAATTATTTTTTATTCATTTTGTACTGTTAAAATCGTCTATCATTTCTGGTAAGATATCTGGTATTTTCGATCCGACCGGCCAGTACGAAATTCATGTTATGCCCACAAGGCCACATACAACAATGGTGTTCTTAATCGCTAAATGCTGACAATAACAATAATAACTCTAAAGAGATATGCATGCAGGTGAAAGTTAGGCCTTTCATAAATGAGTTTACCAGCGAAAATTAATTATCTCCTTAATTGCTGTATGGTCTTGCATGCGCTGGTTCCTGAATTAACTAAGCAACTTGCTGATGTTATAAATGCTTCTTCATTAATTATGTTCACCAAAAAACCAAATGCTTAGCTTCCTCATTAACATTTTTTTTTATCAATTTCTTTCATTCCTATTACTCTCCCTGTCTTCCTAAGTCCTAACGCATTGGGGAGAAAAAATAATACTTAACTAACACCAAAGGAATCGGGTGTTCTATCAACCTATTGTGGGAGATGAATATTGAATAGGATACTATGGTAATTCCATAGGCGGGCTCAAGATAGGGTGCATAACCATGGGTTATGCATCCATCAATAATCAAATATGGACCCTTCATTTAGAAAATCCAGATCTAAGGATGGAAAATTAAGAACCATTTTTATGTTTCCTAACTTTCTTAATCGGCTCATATCTTTTTCGTTTTAACTCGGATTTTAATTTTTTTTGCACAGATGGAACGAGTTCATCGTGCTCTACCAAATGAGAACAATTTTCAATATTTTTTTAGAAAAAAAAAATTCTGGCCTCTTGGTACCAACTGCATACCATATGGTATCTTCTTTGTTTTTAATTCGTTTTTGAAAAAGTTTGCACAGAAGGGACGAGTTCATCATAATCTATTGGATCTACAAATTTCTGGGTGAACAAATTACAGGACCAAAAAATACCACACAATACTATACAATACCACCCTGGTACGGGGTGGTATTGTATGGTATCTTCTTCGTTTTTAATTCGTTTTTGAAAACGTTTGCACAGAAGGGACGAGTTCATCATGATCTATTGGATCTACAAATTTCTGGGTGAACAAATTACAGGACCAAAAAATACCACACAATACCATACAATACCACCCTGGTACGGGGTGGTATTGTGTGGTATACAATGTTAAAAGTCGTAAATGACAATTAATATACTTCTACTATCATGTATTCAACCATCCTACAGTCTTGGTTTGTTCATACCACCATGGTACGTTTTTCAGACCATAGGTATGCTTTTATTTCAATACCAGTCAATACCATATGGTATAGACTGGTAAAAAATGGCTCAATTTTTTTTGTTCGAAAAATATATTAAAGTGGATATCATTTTGAAGAGCACAATTAATCTGATCTAACTGTGCAAAAAATTAAATTTGTACTTAAAATGAGTGAGAAATCGTCCGTCAAAGATTAAAGAGGGGAAAATTAATGGCTTTCCAGGAGAGAGAAAATGTTGATGTGGGCTGGTTACTCATAGTTACTCACCATAAGGTTACTGACCTGATCCGTTCCCCATAGGCTTAGCACCATACTACTATTGAGTTGTAGTAGTATGTGGTGGAGTTATAGTCCTACAATTGTAAAAAATAATTATTACAACCGGAAAAAAAATAAATACAATGATGATGGTACATAGGCCTGTAAGTTTGGTACCAGTATTTGGGATATACCGAATACCGTACCGAATTTGTCTATATTTGGATTACCGAATACACATATTATTTTTTGGGATTGAGATTGGGTTTCAATTGTTATTCGGTAGTAGGGATTACGGGATTGGGATCGGTATATACCCAAATACCGATCAATACCGAAATATAAGCTAGTGTATTTTATCCTCTCAACTAGACTCTCTCATTCACTACTACGCGACCCTCAACCACCAAGAGTGTCATTTAATCATACATAGATCATTACATCACTATTTCACACTAGTATTAGTCGTCTCTCAACCTCAAATTCATCAAATTAAAGATTACCAATTACAAAAACTTGAGGTGTTAGCTCTAGGCAAGTTAAGACTCTTTGCTTAGTCTCTTTCCCTAAATTAAACAATAAAATATAATTTATATATTTAATTATTAATGGCAAACGTAATTAATTTTGTATTTGCTAATACCGATTGGGATACCGAAATATTTAGGGATTGGGATACCGAAATTATTTAGGGATTGGGATTGGGATTGATTTCAGAGTGTAATTCGGTATTCGAGATTTCGATATTTGGTATTGGGATACCGATATCGTACCGATTTCCACCCCTAATTCTACTACAACTCATTGTTAGCCATGATGCTAACTACTAAACCCCTATAGTTAGCAAGCTAACCCATTCAAGTATTGTGTTAGATTATAGTGCATGTTGTAAGACTTTTTCTGATTATAGTAGTTTCTCTTTATCTCCGGTCCAAAAGCAAACCAAGATATTCACATTTTCAACAATCAACTATAGTTGTTAACTCAATAAACTCTTCCGGACCAACGATTTTTTTATGTGGTATGATGTTGGTATGAGTAAGCTAGCATGAAGTCTTATTTCCGATACTTCTTTTATGTCATCGTACAACTATCATGATATTGTTAACTTCTCTTAGCCTAGTGAGATCGAAACAAAGAATGATCGGAACAGGAACAGAAACAGAAATCACACAGGTATTTACGTGATTTCCTTGATCGGTGTGATCAACACTAGTACACGGCCGAAGCACTCAACAATTGTATTATCTTAGAAGCTGTGATCGAGGAAGCCCCGCCCAATAGTGCCTCTACTCTACAAGTCCTAGTACGTCATAGACAACCTGACCACCTCTTTCAGTTCTTTTAGTGGTCTAAAGAAGATAAATCAAGTCTGATGTCTCCTGCATTGTCGCCGAGCGGAAGAAAGTGGCATGGAATTATATGTCCTGCCCCGAAATAAGGCGTCTTTCTCCCGACATAGTTCAGGATTACAACATATATATGTTTCTCTAACCCTAGCCGAGATAGGGAAGGAGATCGGCTAAGTTTCCATGAGCAAGACTAGGCCTAAACTACTATGTACAAACTATTGAATGGGCTTAAGCCAACGTACATGTAAATGACACAACTTAACAGCCTCCCCCAAATTGATGGAGGTCTTGCATCATCAATTTGCTAGCAAGATATGTGTGTCGACTAGTAGTGAATGCCTTAGTCAGAATGTTTGCAATCTGATCCTCAGACTTAACATAGAAAATCCGGATAACCCCGTCACGTACCAAATCTCGAATATAATGAACGTGAACCTCGATATGCTTGGTACGATCATGAAGCACGAGATTTATAGCAATCCTGATAGCATTGGTGTTATCAACATAAAGCTCCATAGGAATGGAGCAGGTCACACCAAGATCACCAAGAAAAAGCCGAAGCCACTCCAACTCTGCACCACATCAGACATAGCTCGATACTCTGCTTCAGTCGACGACTTAGAAACCTGATCCTGTTTCTTACATCTCCAAGAAATGAAAGAACTACCGAGACGAACATACCAACCTCTCGTAGACCGGCGAGTATCCACACACCCAGCGTAATCAGAGTCAGAGAAGGCCTATAGAACAAGTGGACCCGAGACAGGAAGGAATAAACCAACTTCTCGAGTGCCCTAGAGATAACGCAGTAGGCGATGAACAACATCCAAATGATCTATTGTGGGAGCAGACATGAACTGGCTGATAATCTGAACTGCATAGGCAATATCCGAATGAGTCGACGTAAGATATATGAGACTATCCACAATACTACAATACTGATTCACCCCCATTAGCCAAAAGATCACCACTCTCTTTCCCCGACTTCACTTTAAGCTCCATCGGGGTAGAAACTGGAACACAGTCCGCAAAACGCGCAAACTCCAAAAGATCGTCAATATACTTCTTTTGGCTGAGAAGAATACCATCACGAGACCGCTGAACCTCCAATCCCAAAAAATAAGAAAGCGAACCAAGCTCTTTAAGAGTGAATGACTCTTGTAAGCCCTACGTTAGCGCCTTAATCCCATCTTCATCATCACCACTCACAATCATATCATCGATATAGAGGAGAAGAACCACTATACCTCTGGAAGACCGAGGAGCAAACAAGGAAGGATCATTCAAACTCTGCTGAACCCAGACGTAAGACACTAGACTGAAACATACCAAACCACGCCCGAGGAGCCTGCTTGAGGCCATACAGAGACCTATGAAGCAAGCATATTGGATCCGGATCGGTATTAGGAATGTACCCCAGTGGAAGCTCCATATAAACTTTCTCCTTAAGATCACCATGCAAGAAGGCGTTTTTAACATCCAGCTGTAGAGAGGCCACTGCGAGAAGTGAACGAACATACACCATCTTCTCCACAGGAGCAAAAGTTTCATCAAAGTCAACACCATACTCCTAAATGAACCCCTGAACCACGACACGTGCCTTGAATCGCTCCAAAGACCCATCAGGAAGAAACTTAAGGGCATAAACCCAACGAGAGCCCACAACGCCGATCCAGAGGATGAGGGACAATAACCCACGTCTGATTAGCGGCAAGAGAAGTCTTCTCCCCAGTCATGGCACGTTCCCATTATGGATCTCCTTTCGCCTGAGAGTACCTGATAGGAACAAAAAAGGAATCCACACCATAAGAAACATAGTCATGTTGACGACGAGGAGGAATGCCTAAGGTAGAGCGATTGGAGCGTCGCACCGGAAGCGGAGACGGGGGCGGAGGCGGCAATGGTGTCAATGGCGGGGAGGGAGGCCGGCTAGCATCAGGCAGCAGGTCATGAGCATCATCAGCATCGACATCATCAGGGATAGATGAAAAACAAAGGGAAAGGTCAAACAAGGGAGTATAGTGGATCCTTTCATCAAGTTATTTTTGAAGCTGCAGACTCTGAAAAAAGGGTTAAAAGAGCTTAATCGAACATATTATTCGAATATCCATGCGCGTGCTAGGGAGGCTCAGCTTTTACTGGCTGAAGCACATGCTTAGGTACTTGATCGACCAACATCAGAGAATGTGGAGAAGGAACTAGAACTAGCTAAAACTTGTTTTGAGGCTCAAGCTGCGGAGGAAAGTTTTTATAGGTAGAAGTCGAGAGCTCACTATGTAAAGGAAGGAGATGCCAACACACCATTCTTTCATACTTCTGCAAAGATAAGGAACACAACAAAAGGCAAACAATTGATCACCTACTATCTGATGAGGGACGTGTGAATCGCTACGACACAACACCAAACTACGACCAAGTGTAATTGTAGAATGGTAATGCAGTATAGTGGGATCAAGTACTAAAAGTCAATCCGAGGCCTAGATGTACTGCCTACTCCGTGATTATCTATTATCTAGCGGGAAAGTCGAGTGGAGAGTCAATTGAGAATGAGTCCTCATAGCTCCTTAGTTAGGTTCAAGTTGTAATTCCCTTTGGTTGATTCACTATTGATTAGACTGCAAAAGATCCGAAAATAGCATGGAATCTCTTAAACTGACTAAGCCCTTTTACACAGAATACCTAGGAGGTGACCAGCCTTCACCGGAATAGACTGCTAAGGCAATTCATACAAAACTCCACTACTGGAAACATATTCCAGTTCAAAGCAGTAAATTGAACGACTCTCGTACAATCAATTCACTGTTATCGATTGAAGAAGCTCTATCAACCTATTCAGATTCTATCTATCACAAGTTGAAGCAAAAATCAAGAAAAGTTGATCAGGATTCAATTGAATCAATAAAAAAATACTTCAATTGATTAAAATCAATCAGTATATCATCCCAAAAGTCATTACAATCAAGATCTCTAACACATGGAACTAGGGTTCTTCATACCCAAGTGAGAGAAAGGTATACTCCATAGAGAGAGAGAGGAAAACAAAACTCAAAGTATTCATACTCATAAAGATGGGAATAATCTGCTTTGGGATGTCAATCTTCACTCTTGGAGATGCAATCTGGGCTGCAATGGTGAGAAATCCACTCCAAATAGCTCCTAGGATTTGTTCTTCGTCACTTTCTCTCTCTAGAACTCTTTTTTTTTTTGCTCCAAAAAGTCGAATCCCTCAAAATATGAGCTCATCTCCACTAAAACCCGCACAGGGGTAAAAACATGGCCTCTGACCCCAAAAACTTGGCCAGGTTTTAATCAAAAGAGGTTGTGTTTTTGAATTATGGTTCTGTGAGATGCAGAGGAAAAACTCAATCTCTGGCACAAGGCCGTGTTTTTAGCACAGAGGGTGTGTTCGAGGGCGTGTTTTTCAGCAGCCTTGCTGCCCAGTTTTCGCGATCGACCTTCTTTCACCTTCAAATGTCTGATGACTTGATATATACACATGTTTTTGTCCACCATTCTTGTACCGTTTGAGTCTTATTTCTTGTGTTTTAGGCCGATTTCACGCTAGGTTGTTCTTGTTTGTGATATTTCAGGTCCTAGTATGTGAATGAAGGTTTGGTAACGAGTTAGGGGTCGATTGGACGAAGATTGGAAGTTTGGCGAGAAGCTGAGGAAGCCACACGACACGCCTAAAATCCCACACGGCCGTGTGACTTGGCCGTGCGACACCATTTTGCATGGGCAAGCCACACTGACCGTGTAGGGGACCCCTTGTAGCCGTGTGGAAAGTCCAGGGAGCTCACACGGCCAGCCTGGAAATCCACACGGCCGTGTGTCCCTGGCCGTGCAGCATGCCTGAAAACCCACTAATCGAAACGTCGCGTTTTGACATCCACACGGGCAGACTGGGAGACCACACGGTCGTGTGGCCTGGCCGTGTGGTCGGGGAATTTTGGGTTTTAACCCAATTTCGAGCCAAAAGTGAGAAAATCGACTTTTTGGAGCAAAAACAGAGCCCTAGAGAGAGAAAGTGCGAAGAACACATCCTCGAGGTGATTTTGGAGCTGGGTTCATCAATCGAGCTTGGAGATCATCATAGGAGTGAAGATCATCATCCCAGAGCAGATTTTCCTCATCTTTATGAGTATGACTACTTTGATTACTGTTTTCCTCTCTCTCTCTCTCTCTCTCTCTATGGAGTAGAACCTTCTCTCACTTGGATATGAAGAACCCTAGTTCCATGTGTTAGGGATCTTGATTGTAATGACTTGGGATTGTTATACTGTTTGATTTTAATCGATTGATGCATGATTTGTTGAGTCAATTGATGTCTGATCATCTTTTCTTGATTTCTGCTGCAACCTGAGATAGATAGAATCTGATTAGGTTGTTAGAGCTTCATCAATCGGTAGTGGTAGATTGATTATATGAGAGTTAATCGATTTACTGCTTTGTACTGGAATCCAATTCCAGTAGTGGAGTTATGCGTTTATAGCCTCAGCTTTCTATCCCGGTGAAGACTAGTCGTCTGCGGGGTGGTTAGACTGAGAGGGCTTGGTCAGCTTAAGAGATTCCAAGCTACTGTCGGATCTTTCGCAGTTTAATCAACAGTTAATCAACCCAGGGTGATTACAACCTCGACCTAACTAAGGAGCTAGGGGGACTCATTCCCGAGTGACTCTCCCTTGCTTAAGAACTTCGAACCATTTCCTGCTTTCTTACTGCTTTTGCTTAAAATCACAAACACTCGACTTAGTTTGCTAGATAATAGATAATCACGGAGTAGGCAGTAGATCTAGACCCCGGGTTGACAAATAGAACTTGCCACTAGTCTGCATTTCCGGACTGCGATTACACTTGGTCGTAGTTTGATGTTGTGTTTTAGCGAGTCAATGTCCCAAAGCTCGTCCCCAAGTCACATCTACGTATTAGGACCTGAAATATGACAAAAGAACACAACCTAGCGTTAAGTAGGTTAAAGAACGATCAATCACTAAGCTAAACGATCAAGAAATGAATGGGGAAAGCACGTGCAAATGCGTTGTTATCAAATTTCCCCACACTTAACCGTTTGCTTGTCCCCAAGCAAACAAAGTCATATACAAGGTAAGCTCAAAACATTTAATCATGCAAACTTTGGGGACATATCATATAGGCACAACACACGGGAATCGTATTGGCTTTTGAATCACTCACTCTCGACCAGTGGGGTCAAGACAAAATTTGATGCAAGATGTGCATACTCGTACTCTAAATGCTAGAGTTCACATATCGGATGTCACCACCAACTAGTCAGGAGGTCTTAGACACGAGTTTAGATGACTGGCTAGGGTCTTGGACATGGGGAAATGCCTTTTAGGTGGTGGAAGAATTCATAACACAAGGTTCCACAGTTCCAAACAAACACAACAACATTCATTCAAACCATTTACTTTCTCTTTCTCTTTACTATTATGCATTAATCAAGTTCTTTAGAGCACAAGAGTGAAGGAGGTTACAACAAGTTAGTATTTCCAAGCCCGTCTGCTAAGAAACACTATTTAATGGGCAAGATTATAATTTTTGTGGTGGCTATCTTTTTGCTTTCGTTTCTTTCTTTCTTTCTTTCTTTTTTCTTTTTCTTTTCTTGAGAAAACCACCCCTTATGCACATTCTTTTATCCATGCAAACACATGTCCATATTTGAAGGACTACCTCCAACCCTCATCTGATTTCCAACAGAAAATAGCAGAAAACATGCACAAACCACTGTGTGGAACCTTAAAGAGATGCATAAGGGTGATTTTTAATTGTATTCCGAAAGAAAGAAAGTTACATGGGTCAAAGGGGCTGGCTAAGGGGTATACACACCAGGACAATCAATTTGGTTGTGGGCAAATCCTATGAATCCATCATCCTAATTAGTGACAACGTGAATGCTACACATCATAGAAGAGGGATCTATCACACAAGAAAGAAATGAGGAAGCTCAAAACTCACATGGCTACCTATATGCTCTATCTCTCATTCTGATTCCCTGAACTAGATGCATAAACGACTGTAAAAAATAAGCGATCAATCCTTGATGACTCCACCTCTGTGCCTTTGTACTAGTCCACTTCCAGTCCCCTTCTCTTGACTGGTCTGCCTTCCAACCGCCGTTCCCGATCATCATTTCCTGGTAACATCGTTCCCCTTCCCTCTGATCAATTGATGGCAATGTCAAACTGAAGTGTGGGGGGTGCTTTGTAATTCTTGGAACATATGTTTGTGTTCTTGGAGCCTAGTCTACTGTCCAAATATTGAGATTTGAGGGCTCCAAGTACTGATGTTTGCATGATCATATTGGCACTGTGGTTTATGTGGTGAATCGATTGGTTGTTAACATAGATGCATGACAACTTGTTTGTGACTTGGACACGCTATAATGATGACTGAGACGTGCAGTAGAGTTGTGTAGGAGTTCATTTTTTCAACTGTTTGCTTACCAACTGTGACTTAGTCCTCGGTTGAACCTGGGATTACCTTGAGTCTACGAGGCTTCACTACGGCTCACGATATGTGGCGTCATCTTACTATTTTTCATTCACAGTCAAATGCTTCTCGTAAGTTTGAAATTGAATTGGAACTTGCTCGGCTGGAGCAAGGGGATAGGGACATTAAAACTTATTACCAGGAGGCTGTTCATTTGTGGACTGAGCATGATTTGTTGCTCTCCACTTCTGTATCGGCTCAGGAGTCTGCGATCATGTTAAAGGAGCGAGAGAGCTCTCGCTTAATGACGTTCCTGATGAAATTGCGGGCTGAATTTGAGAGTATCTGTGCCTCTCCTTTTCATCGTAACGTTAGCACCATGGCAGAGGTTATGGGTGAGCTCCTTCGTGAAGAAACTCGTCTGCGAAGTCAGGCGAAGATTGATATTCACTCCACAGAGACTGGTTCTGCTTTTGCTGTTCACTCAGGAAAACCGCAATTCCACCGCAACTCCGCTGGCCCTATTATTTGTCATTTTTGCAAAGTTCCTGGACATGTGCTCATTCACTGCAAGAGGCAAAATGTCTGCAACTACTGCAAGGATCAAGGTCATATGATCGGGAGTTGTCCGATTCTTGCTCGACGGGGTCGAAATCGTCCAGCTTCTGGTGGGTTCTCTAGAGGGGGAAACCGCTTCGAAAATGGACTTCTCCCAGGCCCGGCTTATGCTGCAAATCGTGCGCCTCCTGCTGGGTCACTCTTATCAGCTGATGCTATTCGCCAACTCGTTCAGGATGCGCTCAAGGACTCTCTTCCCTCGGCCTTAACTTCCGTCTTCTCTGCCGGTATGAATTCTCGTTCTCAATCTTCTTGGCATCTAGACTCTGCTGCTTTTAATCATATGACTAGTTCTCGTGAATTGTTTGAGAAGAACATCCCGAACCGCATATGGACTTACAAGTTGCGAATGGGTCTCGTATACCTGTTCAGGGCATTGGTACAGTTGTTGATAAACGTTTGAAATTAT